CTTTCAACACATGCCGGTGACTGCTTGCCTTCATGTGAATCAATGAAAACAAATCTGATGAAATTGCAGGCGCCAGTTTGGTTACAACAATTGATCCGAAATTGAAGGGATCACAGCAAAAGATGTACCTTGTGACACTAAGTTAAATCCAAACCGCTGATTTGTCCTTTTATTGTGATCCCAGAAAATAACATGCATTGTTTGTGGTGCCCTTAAAACACTTTATGACTCTTAAACAGTCTGCGTGTGAACTGACTGACTTTAGCATTCTAGATGATAATCAGCAAGGAAAGCACTTTATTCTAATTCACCCTTCACTGTATTATTTTTTATTCTTATGATTATGGCTACCAAAGACATACATATTCACTTACTATTGAGAGTGAGTTACCAGCTTTCCAGTGAGTATGAAAGATCCATGGCTTACAAAGCAGCACAGGTGGCTGGGAATTATGGCTATTTTAGCACAAATTGAAAGAATGTTTACGATCACTGTAATCCATGAAGTGTTATCTTTATTCTGTGGTCATGAAATACCCTTCAACTCTTAGCACAATCTACACTGATTATGATTACTACTTGATTATGAACTGCTATGATAATTTTGAAATCATTTCACTGGTACTTATTATCCCTGCACAGGGCAGTGCCAATGCTGCTCACTTGGGAGAATAGCACCTCATAGCAAGGATTCCATATAAAAGATGGAAATGTAAGTGTGGTGCAAAGTGCCAGATGTTTAAAATGCTATGAAATTCACTCATTTACATTGTGCATTGATTTGTTTATGAACAACTCAAGTTTAATCATCAAATATAAATCCATTGATGCACACCTCAATTATATTTCAAGATTTAAATTAAGACATTCGTGTTGTGAGTTTGTTTTTTTGGAAGCATGATTTCAGTCATGTTTGGGGAATCAGGACTGAAATATTTTTGTTTCCTTATAAAGTAAAAGGTTTGTTGCTCAAACAGGGATGAAAACTCCTAGCACTTGGCCCAATGTATTAGGTGTCAGGCTATTAAAAGGCTCACCCTTCAGGAGGCAAAACAACTCACAGCCATGTTTTCCTGACGCAGGAAAGCAGTGAAATTAACATGAAAATAAATCAATCTGCCACACAATTCTGAAAAGATGGTAACTTTTGATGATAAATTTGTGGATTGTGTTAGGTTTAGTCCTCACCAATGGTTTCCAGAAAATTGGTCACTTCTTTTATGGCTGTTTGTGGCACATTGTTGTGTGAAAGTTGGTTTCCATGTTTGCCTACAGTGAGTCACTACACAAAGTTTGTAAGGTACTCTGTGTGCATTTTTAATGCACTGTATCGAGTGCAAGAATTAATTATAATATTGTTAGGATACCCCCACACGACATCTATCTTGGGTATATGTGCACTGGAGATTGTGCAGAAGAGCTGTTGAATTAGTTCTTTGGCCACATGGGTGTTTGATAACTTCACTGGATGTGTCCCCACAGAATTCTCGTCTCACCATGTCTCTGGTTTAAAAATATTTTACTTTATTATATTCTGGTTTATTTTATGTTATGTTTTTTGTTACCATAGTTTGCATGGTCTGATGAATTTTAAAAGTTATTGCCTTCTTTCTCCAAGTAAAAACAGACAACCAGCTACTGGTTGCTGTGAGTTTGAATGCTAGAATCATTCCCTGAGAGAACGCTCTGCCTCTGGTTGCCTCTCTATTCCCAATGATTCCCAGTAAGAGACGAAGAAATTTGTGGGATATATTCTACCGTATCAGCATGGCACCTAATAGTTTTCCAATGTGCTGACCTTATTGGAAAATCATTAGTCAGAAGCAGAGAGTGCCAGCTGATTGACCGTTTTTTTTCTTTATCCCATTTCTTGAGGTTAAGGACAGAGATGGGAATAAGTTTGCTCCTTGTTGGTTTTCATTGTGTGGTGGTTGTCCGAGGGAGAGGGATCTGTTCTTCAAAAGATCTTAGTACATGTCTGCAATTAAAATATGTAAATATTTTAATTAACCGACAGGAGAATTCCCCTAGAACAGGGCGCAGTTATAAAACCTTGTCTGAAAAAAAACAAGTATCTTTTGAAGAAGGAGCCTTTGCAGCCTTTTAAACACTTGTATCTAATGGACCAGATCTATAGTGGTTCTGAGTTATTTTCTCCTCTAAAATGTGCCATCAAAAAGCAAATTCTTTATCTTAAAATACAGAGTTACACTGTTTTAAGTTTACATTGCATCCATTTTATTATATATATATCACTGTGGTGAGTTTCATAATTCCATTGTTTCACTTAACCTGTTGTGGAGTTTAATATCTTTTAAAATATTGCCTTTAAAGGAAAATGTTTTTTCTGTATATTATTATGATTTATATTTTATTATATACTATACTTTAACCAGTATTTATTTGTGAGCTTTGTATGTCACTAATAATATTGTAATAGGTTAGGGAACAGAAGGGCCATGCTCAGCATCAACCAACAGATTTGCATTACTATTGCACTAGAGAGAGGAGCTGTTCATTTGGAATGCCTTTGCTGGGCGAAAAAAAAAAAATTGGTTAATGGACAATTCTAACACTTTACTGAGCAGGTGCTCAAAAACTGATTGCAAAGTGGCCAAGTTGGCAAGAAACTGTTGGATATCATTTGCCACGGCCAGACAATGCTGATCACTGCATATTTTGGGCAGGTCACCTATTAAATCATCAATTAAAGGAACTATGTCATGTTGGAGGGATGGGATCAAGACAGTAACAGTTTTAAGTTGTTACCATTGTGACAGTGCTTTCCCTATATCATTCGACAAGTACATGTGATTTTGTGATGGTATTATTGCTCCGTGATCCTTGTTGAAATATGTAGAAATGAGTTTTCGTTTTGCTTGCGAGTTAAAATCTGTTATTAACCACTGCTCCATTAAGATGTTTATTTTTCCATTGGTTTGAAGTTTCAAAATACTGTTTTCACAGGTGAATTTTTTTTTAAAAAATCAGTCTTGCAATGTTTGTAACAAACGCTGTACTTTTGTCCGGATCTTCAGGGGGTTGCTCATCCCCAGGTGCTGATTTGGGTGGCTTTCAGCACAGAGCTGTGTATTGTTCAGGGGCATGGACAGTGATATGACATTGCAAAAATGAGCATAGCAATATGTGAGATACTGCTGAACAATTTTACTAAACGCTTGGCAACTGTTCAGGTTCTTTTCCCCCCTGTGATTGTGAATTGCTGCTTATTCCTTGCACTTCTCTGATCAAAATAATACATCGACTAGGATCCAACTGGTACACACAATATTTTTGGGATAGCAGGTTGGAGAGTAGCTGTTTTTTTTGTGTTTTCTTAAAGCTTGAAATAAAAGAAACCGGGAAGCAAACAGGTCCAAATAAAAGAGAAATAAGATACATTGAAGGTTTTTTGGGGGCAGAAAATATTCACAAGTTGAATGTTGTTGTATGTCCCAGCCATAAGATCAGGTGTGTAATGTTTTTGCACAATATTTAAAAGGGAAGTACCCTCCCAGGTAAGGGTAGCAGTGACAATCGGCACAGCTTTGCTATCCTTGCTGCAGCTATTTAAATGTTTACCTTTAATTCTTTTAAAACGGCTTCTTCAATGTGATTTCGGCACTTCAATGAACTGACGTTTCTGTAGGTTGTAGGAATGAAAACTGTATATGGTTGTACATACAATGTTCTATATGTAATGTATATGTTGTACAAGTTTGTTGGTGCATAATGTTAATGCTTTCTATTGAGATATGGGGTATACGTGACGGGGGGGAAATCTCATTTAAATTATAAATGGAAAAAAGAGCCTTGATAGTTGAAATGTGCAGATTAATATTCTATGGAACTTTGCTGGAAAAAAAGAGAATCCATTTGTGTTACACATATCAGTGCATATAGCTTTAAAATGATGTAACAGGGTGTTCCGTTAGTTATGTTTTGAAGTTTTTTTTATATTACTAGCTGAAAAACAATTGTTACTGGTCTTGATGGTGCCTGATCACCGGCTCAGTCATTGACTGTAGATGCCATAATGTAGTTTACCATCACCTCCTGTCATTGCATATAAAAGCGGATGGGCAAAAATCGTTTGTAAAATGGACTTGCACCGTTCATTTCCTGTTCAGTATTCTAGTGTTAGAGACAAACCCACCTTTTACTTGAGGATGTGCTGCATAATGATAAAAATTAATGGGAAATAAACATCTGATTGAATTTCTGTCAATTATTTGTGGTATGTTTCTAATGCAATCTCTTGGAGGTTAGCAAAATGTCAGATAGAAAATCAGTCCTACCGCACAATGGATAGGTGAGTATCTATTGGTTTTAAGTTGATTTGCATTAAAATAATGAGGGAACCTCATATAAATATCAAATTATTACATTTACACACAGAAAAGCCTCATCATTCCACTGAGACCTAAAGACAGGGAACATTACGTTCATAATACAAGTACAATTTTCTCCTTAATATACAAGAATTGAAATGTCCTGTATATTTAGATGAAAACGTAGTTATCCAATATAAATATCAAATGCAAGGATTATTATAAGTTTATAATGCCTAAACTGCTGTTCATTCTCACCTGCAAATTTAGATGGACTGTGTGGCGAACTCTCATGGCAGGGGAGGTCAGGATGAACAAAGGTGAGGAATAACAAGTACCACGATAAATGTATAAAATGGGATTTGTAACATTGATGCCCAGCTGTGGAGTGGGAACAAGACAGTATGGATTTCATATTTTCAACAGCCTGTGTCTTAAAAAAACTAAACAATTGTTAAAGCTATTCTAGAATCTAGAAACCAAGGAAAGTAATCTGTCTCTTATGTTTCAAATTCAACATGGAAGCAATTCATCACTGAATTCTTTTTGTTCTCCAGCCAGTCCCTAAGTATAAGATAAAAGCAATTAAAAATCAAACTAATTCCCAAAATTTCATTTTGTCCACAGAGTTAAAAAATAACAAATCAAACAATTTTAGTTTCACTCTCTTTATTCTTTGAACAAGGTAAATTTAGTTGAAAAAAATAAATTATTCTCAAATATCATTTGAAACAATTCCATACACTATCAATTAGCGACATTTCACTATGTTTTCTATAAGTTATAATAAGAACACTTACCACTTTACCTTCAACAATAAATCTTTCTGATTTGTATATACAGGTTTTACACGTTTAAAAATCTATTAGAAAAAGGATTTCATTATAAAACAGATAAAGCATATTTTACTATTCATAGGAACAGTTAGATCAATACAGTAAAATATCTTAGCCATATCAAAATGGGGTTTTACTACAATTTAGTCTCATTCAAAATGACTTCTTGTTAAAATGCCAAGTTCAATTAGTTTTTAATGGTCGACTTCAGATAATTACTAAAGATTTGTAGAGTCAGAAACTGGTGGCAGCCAGTCAAACCGTTGCCTATTTTCAGTTCTTAAACTGTCCACAAGTCAAGTTCACTTATCTTTCTACCCATCCCTTAGTGAAATAAACCAATTCCCATGATAATGTTCTTTGATGTCTTGGTCTCTCAGCTAAACCCACCTGTAAAGAGATCAGCCGAACAATTCTGTTGCATCATAATCACTCTCCACAATAAAGACATGACTGAATTAAAAAGGCACTGCTTGCAAGTTGGATAACTTGCATTGCAAATGCATACCAGAGGTCCCATTTTTCTGTATGTTCTGCTAGTACCCTTTGTAAAAGGTGCAGGTTGAAAAGTTAATTCTCATTGAATTAAAAATTAAGTAAATTTAGTGTTGCATTGAAGGCAGTTAATGTTTGTGCTACAACGAGATCTTTAAGATATCAGAGGGCTCCTGATACCACAAAGTGTGGTCCTTCAACTATCTCCATAACTTGATTCTGAAAACATGGAAATAGTTTTTTTCTTTTAAATAGATGAGAAAAATGTGCACTCAACTTTTAGAATGAATCCAGTCAGCATTTTGTTGGACTTTTTAAAAATACAATTGATTTTGAATTATATTCCACATTATCCAATTCAAAATGACCTCTTGTGTAGACAATAAATATATTTTATAAAGTACACTGTAAAACATTACAGTAATTTCATCTACATTTATAAAACTGCTTGTTAGTGATGGTCTATAAGTCTAAGTCTTGGAGGCTCCCCCAACTGGAACCAATTCTCACTTTAACTTTGAGTTTCACTGACAGCTTCATGGCGTTTTCCATTTCAGTCTTCATGATTTGTGCAACCTGGGGAGGTGGGGAAAAACATAGCAGGAGACTGATCAGTCATCTTCGAAATCCATGAGAACAGATGATTTTAAGGGTTGACTGAGATTTGGTATTGAAAATGAACAGTGAAACATGGCCACCGCACAGAGGGTGCCTCAATATTCTCCCTTTATAGTTTTCAGCAGCTGTGCTCTGATGTTCTGCTCCACTCCAGTTATCAGAATTCCACGGCTGAAAGATTTCTATTTCAGAAAAGCTCAGTTCAATCATCAATCAACCCCAGTGGTACTCACACTGGGAACAGTCACTCACTCTCCTCATGAGCCCTTGATCAGAGAGCATCGTCACAGAGCACTTTAGCACAGGCAGTTTGACCCTAGGTCATTTACCAATAAAATGCACATAAAAAAAATTGAATAGCAATGGTCCAACTCTGAATATTCTGTTTTTGTTAGTTGGTGAGGGCCAGCTTGAAGATGAAACACACATTATCTCTGGTTGGCATGAGATTAACCCACCTGTCCTAAATTGCGCCATGGAATTCTAGCCAAAAAAAACAGGGATTTTGCAGCCAAGTTCAATGTGAAATTAATTGGTTTCACAAATGTCACTGTTAAATTTAGCATCGCTTGAAATAACAGAATGAAATATTGTGCACCAAAATATTTAAACACTTTTCATGAACCATGGCGTTGCTATTAACTCAAACAAGTGAAATGTCACTCCCACGCCAAAAGCTTAAACCACACAGGTCGATTGACTGATGTGGCTCTTTTATACAAATGATTCACAGCAGGGCAACTTCACGGCTTTTTTGATCTGTATATCTGCACTTACTGCAGATACCATATGTGCAAAATAATACCAAAGGGTAGAAGCTATACATTGCTGGCAGGTCAAATGAGCTGGTGCTGTGAGAAGAGCCCGATTGTTAAAATGGGGATCTTGGCTGTACCTCTGTCATTGAATAACCCAAGTGTCTTGAGTCAAAGAGAAGGAAAAGGACTCTTTGCAAACCCACCTGTATCATGTCATTCTCGGCCACTTCATAAAGCAGTTCATCGTGTAACTGCAAGATGAAGAATCCCCCACTGGCTGGTCGGTACACCTCTCGCCTTCTCTTCCTTTCTGAGAATCCTAGATTTGGTTGTGAATGAGACAAGTTATCCTCAAATTAAAAATGCACAGCATACTTTACTCCAATCAGTGAATGTTCCCAGCATATTTGTACCAAGTTAACACCCTAAACTGTTATTAACAAAACTAATTAGATTACAGGGTTGTGCCCAGTCAGACGTTATTCTGTCCTTCCTGATAGATTATGGGAGAAACTGCATTTAAAACACTGTGTGCAACTTTGGATAACCCCAACTTCAAAAGCAAATTGATGTTCTGATTCCAGAATTTCAGAACCAATGAAGAAGACAGAGATTAATTATAAACAACACTCATTCCCTGTTCCTGAGCCTGCAGGCTGCAGTGACAGAGATGGCTGATAGTTGTGAGAATCAGTGTTTTCTGAAGCTAGACCATTGGGACAACAGCCAGGTGATGGGAAAAAGTTCACAAAGCCACTGTGTGTGAGCAGGTAATACAGTCCCTGATTCTTTAGTCTCAGAAACAGGAAAACAAAAGGAATATGAAGCAGAACTCTCACCAGATCGGATATTTCCCTGGACTATTCTCTCCTGATGGCCGTGTGATTTGGCAACAGATGGGAAGCTTTCCTCTAACCGTTTCTGGATATTGACCGTTGCCATTTTTACCAGATCTGCTGCTGACCCTTGTACAGTGGTGTTCACTGCCTGACGTTCAGCCTGCAAACATTGACAGCCAAGCGTGAATTTATCAGCACAAACACACCAAGTCTTTCAGCAGAAGCTTGACTGAAGCATTAATCCGGGACAATGCTGCAACTACTGCAGCTATGGGAACGTGAATGCAATTTAATTGTTAAAGTGTAGTCTTCCCTGAGGAGCTTATTTGAACAGTGGTATTCAAGGTATTCTATGGGGAGCCCAATAGACTGATACCACCACCCAGCCTGCTAAACAATGGACTCGCTCTGGGAATGGAGAATTCCTCACTTTAGGAAAACTACAGAGCTCGAAAAACTTTTTTTTAATATCACTAGCAGGATTAGTTTGAATAATACTCATCCCTTTTGAGTTTAGTTTAAAATAGAAGCCCCAAGCTGTGGGTTTATATCACACACTGTTGTAAGAGAATCAGAAGAGTGCTTCTCAACACAAACTCCTCCAACTGCAGTAACATTGTTAAAGTGATTATCTGCTGAATAGAATTTGATTGAGTAAGTTCAAACAGTTCAGATACGCACGTGAGCTTTGGCATGTGGATTGGGATCCTTTATGGCTGGCAGGTATCTCTTCCGGCCAAGAATTGTTTGAACAAAGCCATTTTTCCGACAGTTATTTACAGTTTGACGAAGAAACGTTTGAATACCTATGAAAAATAATTTATTCAAGTCTTTACGGTTGAATCTCGTTCACACAGAAGTGTTAAGTCCCATTCAGGAAGAACTGGGTTCTAAGTTGTGAAATTGGCAAACTGGATTTGTTGCATTAATTGTAACTTCAGGTTTGTAAAATTTGTTGCATCCAAATCCCAAATCTGCAAATTTTGAATAAAGCAAGACATTTTGCAACCTGTCCTTTTGCCAATTTGGGATTTGCAAACAAACACTGCAATTAAAACAACAAATAATAATAATCCTTGCATTTGATATAGCGCTTTTCACATCTTCTAGACGTCTCAAAGTGCTTCACAGAATATACTGTAAAGTGAATTGACTGTATATTTTGTGGGCAAAATGCCAATTACGCACAGCTGTGTCCCACAAACAGTCATGGACTGAAGTGACCAAATTATTTTTTTNGTTGAGGGATTATTATCAGGCATGTGGACTAAGGAAACTTACCCAAGGTTTCGCCGTGCAGGGAATCGAACCCAGGTCTCTCACTTACAAGGCGAATGCTCTAACCACTGAGCTACAGGACTCCAATGCAATTGACGAGTACTGTAAATTATAACCTATTGATTGATTTATTACCTATTATAACCTATATTACCTTTTACAACCTATATTACCTATTATAACCTATTGATTGATTTATTACCTATTATAACCTATTATAAAAGCCCAGCCAGTCGGCCTTTGTTTTTTTTATTAATTACAATCCCAACCACCAGTAAAAATGCAGTGGAGGCTTCCTTACCTTTATATCGTGATTTGAAGGTTTCGAGGTAAGCAGCTGCATCATTCTCATCCAGGTCCATCTGCTCACCCAGAGCCTTGCTCCCCATCCCATAGATTATACCATAGCAGATCTACAGAATAAGAATGGAGCAAAGGTTAAACCTTCTAACCAAGACATTGACTGACAGAGGATTCACACAGCTCACAAACATCAGCACATAGTCTTTCATATTTAGGCAGTGTTCAAAATGGATGAACAACAAATATTGATTTTGATTGGTTCTTGTCAGCTGGTACATGGTAGAAGACTCACTAAATACAATGCTTGCTGGTGGATATCATATGTTCCAGCATTTCAGCATTGAAATGAAACACAAATTAAAGGGGTCAATTGCGCAGGATTTCTCCAGAAGAATTTTGTCCGTGATGTTGACCAATGGGAACGCTGCTCTAACTTGGATCTATTCTCAGAGCGAGTGAGGCTGCTTCAAGTTGGTGCCACATATAGGGTAACTTTCATATGGCAAGCCCAGCTGGGTCAAAGGTCTCACCAACTGTGTTACAAGTGTGCAAAAGCATGGCCCACAAGTGAGGTACAAAAGGATCCCAATCCTCACGCCAAAGCTCACGTGCGTATCTGAACTGTTTGAACTCACTCTGTCAAATTCTATTCAGCAGATAACCACTTTAACATTGTTACCGCAGTTGGAGGAGTCTGTCTGGAGAAGCACTCTTCTGATTCTCTTAGAAGAGTGCGCGGTAAACCCACAGCTTGGGACTCCTATTTTAAAGTCAGCAGGTTGCTGCTGATGTCATTAATGTGTGTTACGTGCCCGCTGAACCAAGAGACATCAATAGTGCTTCTTGCACATATAGCAAGCAACAAACAGGAAATTATATCAGTGATGACCCCAAAGTCATCCATTTTCTAGTCAGCCAGTTAATGCTACCAGTGGACCCACACTAGGTAGTGCTTGATCAATGACTGCTATAACAGGGTACTTCTGGATAATGGAAGGAGTCACCCCATTGGAATTGGAAGGGATCCAATGAGAAATCCGTCAAAATTGATCCCTACATATCAGCTTAGGGAAGCTGTTCGCACAAACCATAAACTAGTCATTCCTGACCACAAACACTAGCGAGTTCTGCAAGCCATAATGCTAATGGGGTATTTTCGGATCTTCACCGATAGCCTCACCTTTAATATGTTCACAAAGAATTGAATTATTAGTTAGTTACCAGCATTTTGTGCAAAATCTACTCCCAGGTACAGCTGCAACACGTGGGTGGTTTTGTGTAACTCAGTGATGCCTGGCATGTATTCTACTCACAGTTCATTAGATTTTTAAACTACTTTCTTGGAATTCAATTTTAAAAACATGTTCAGGTGGGATATGTAAAATAAATCGAATGTTCAGAGAGCAAATGAACAGTGGATAATCACTGGTAGAAATGTAACTTATTCCCTTAGAGTGGGACAGCTACCCCTACCCTCCCTCCCCTCCACCCCTCCTGATCCCAACCCCCAGCTCGGGTCCAAATCCCTGACTGTCCAGCGCCTTGGGACGTCCTCCCAACGTGAAAGGCTCTATACAAGTGTAATTTGTTGCTGACAGTTGGGAGTTTTTGAAACCTTTGGTGTCACTATCCACTGGATCAAAGAGGTTTGAGCCTCATTTCGTCTTCAATGCCACCTACTGCTCATTAAGGAGACAGGCTGAGAGGAGAAATCAATGGTCAGGAGAACATTTAAAACAGGTCCAGTACAAAATGGATTACATACAACACAAGTTCAGTGCTCATAATAGTGGGCATCAGCTGCATGTTTGGAAAGCTCCCATTGCAGTGAAAAGGAGGTGATTATTTCACACACCATTTGTGCTCTGGTACTGGATCCCTGCAATAAGGCTGCCTAGCTAATGCTAATTAGTGTTGATGCTCTGGTCGGTTTTATGCCTTGGATGTAATAGTCACTGGGCATCGCTGGGGATTACAGAAGCTCAGTATTTCATACTCATAGACAATTGGTCATTAGTTTCATGCATGTTCATGGGACCTTGCTATGTATAAAATGACTACTGTGCGTTTGCCTACAAAAATAATCATTACACCACAGTAATTACTGAAAAGTGTTTTAAGATTTCCACTGAATAACTATAGCGCTATAATTAACAAAAGATGTTATCATTTTATTAAGCTACAGGAGAAGTGAAACTCTGTGGACACTGACACAATTTAGAAACTTTTTTGACAAGGCTGGACCGACCTGCTTAGCCTGCTGTCTCAGACTGTCGCTCACTGACCCTGGCTCCACCATTTTCCATTCGGCAGCAATGCTCTTGAACACATCTTCCCCGCAGTTCAGGACGCGGATCAGCCCCCTGTCCTTGGAGAGGTGAGCCAGGATCCGCAGCTCCAGTTGGGAGTAATCGGCTGCCACAATCAGGCCACCTTTATAAGAAAACAAAGTAGTTAGTTAGGAATTTTTAACCTGCCTATCAAACCAGGAAGATATGGACTCAGCCATTGGGTCATGTTTCATGTAGTTATTATTATGAAACAAATTACCTGGAAATGGGACAAATGCATGTCTCATACTGACAAAAAATGGCAGCCCTTTATCAGTCTTTCTGTTTCCCATCATGGCTTCCTGATCAGGTAGTCGGACATTGCAACCCCGCCTCCTGAATCAAGAACAAATTGAAGTATTATTTAAATTGTGTTGGAATAACTCATTCGGTATTTCAGGTCTACTCTATCGCTAGGAGGACATAAGGCCCAATACTGCGGTGACCAGTAATACCAGCACAGAGAGTGGAGGGACAGGCATAGAAACACACAGTGGCGAAAAATGTTTTAGCATTTGTCAAACATTAAATTCTAAATTCAAAGAAAAAATCAAGATAAGGAAGCATCACCGAGATCAGTGAGATTGCGGTATGTGGATACTGAAAGTGGATCCTGGTATGGAAAGCAACAGATAAAGGCACTTGTGTCCTAATAGGAAACAAAAGTGAGGTATAGAAGACAGGAAAGCTTGCTGAGAGTGATGGAGGCAAAAACGAAGAATAAAACGTTTGAAAAATAGGGAGAAGTGGGTTGATTTAGTGGATTATAAAACTATTACAAACAAGCACTTTGAAAGTATAAATATACTCTATATGCTCTTTCAGTATCCCTACATTGTCACTCATTTTGAAAAGAAAGGCATTCCAATCTCTCAACACATTTTGTGCTTTCCTTACCTTTAGTTTATTCTTTTTAAAATCACACCATGTCAATAGTGAGAACAGTTAATAAAGTTAGCAAATATTCAAATACAGAATAGCCCTGGCTAGTCAGATTACTGGAGGAGAGACCCAGTATGGAGAGCTGGAATTTCCAGCTAAGTGTACTGCAATGAAGGTAATGCAAAATAATGTGTGCAGCGATGCCAGAAAATGGCAGTGATGCATCTTCCGACACTACATATGCGTTTCTACTGATGTGAACCAAAATGTAGTCACTCGCCCACGGAGACACTGGACACCAGAGAAAGGACAATTGAAGCGGGAAGCGGTGGGGAGAGTTGGGCTGATTTTTTTAAAAGGTGTTGGGTCCCGTCCAGCTAGATTCAAATTTCCGGATGCCCAGAATACGGTAAGCCAGGGATTTACTGTACAAATTTTTCATCCTTAAAAATTGAAGATAGTACATTTAATGCTGGATTTATGTCAGGTGATCATCACAAATTGAATTTTTTTAAAAGAACTTTTTTTCTAGATGAATAAAACACTAATTTAGTTTCAGACAAAGGGTGCAGAGAAGCCAATTATGTTACAACTGCTGACTAAAAGATAAACCATTGCCAAACTCAGGGAAGGAGATAGGAGTGAGAAGTTTTAAAGCACTTCATAAGAAATTACTTAAAGCAAAGGTGTATATGAAGCAATTCATTCCAATACCTGGATTTTGTAGGTAGAGCCACATTGTTTCTTTCCTGAGACGGTGGACTTTCCCCAATCACTGTTGGCATTTCAATCTCAAAATCCTTTGGCACGTTCTGCAGGTTAGGCTCGGCAAAGCTAATTCGACCTAGTAGGCGTCAAATTGATTAGGGAACCAAGTGAATATTTGTCAATATTTGAAGCAAACACAAACTGTATTCCACAGGGCAGCAAAACGAAAACTTTCAGGCCTATCCATTTCTCAGATTAATATGAGATTAGTTCCATATAACAAATTGAAATCGCCTTCAAAAGATGGTATCAAAAATATACCTGAGCTGAGACTCTGCTATTTTAATGCAAGTCACATTATTGTAACTGTTCACTTTGCATTTTTTAAAAACTAACTTATCTGTCCTAATTTCAAGCATGAAAGTCAATTTTACCTTAATTATACAGCTAAAAGCACTGAGTTCACTTATTATTCTGAATCCGAAATACCGTTTTACATGCACACGCAGGCAGACTGCAATGTCACATATCTGTAAGCCTGCTCATACTCTATCACACTGGCCCATTATGCTTTAACGCAAATAAAATAATTTCTTTCACTTGCTGACCCCCTCCCCCCAGGTTGGAAACAGCAGTAGTCTAGTGTGCTACTAAAGAGGAAGTGGAGGCAGTACAAATGCAGAAGCATAATGGAAATTTTAATGAACTAAAAGCCACCAAAAAAAAATACACACACAATGCCACCACCAAAAGCTCTGAAGTCCTAGCATATTAAGACTGTTACCTGTGGCACTGTACGTCTGACTAGTGGAGTAAATCCTTTCCATTCCCAGCCGTTGGTGGAGGCTCTTTTCTCTCTGCAGGGGGAAGACCACTTTGGTCATCGCATTGGTGATTCTTCTCCACTCCAGGATCAAACCAGGCAGAGGATGAAGGGACTTCATCTTCTCTAGCACTTGCTAAGGAGGCAGAATAGGCCACAAGGAGGTGGGGGTTCATTTTTTCTTTACAAACAAGTTAAACATTGTCTTTAAGACGATCACAAAATTTAAGACAATCACAAAAAGGAATTTAAGTGGAGGTGAGATAAAAGCCTTCACTCGGGAAATAGCTGGAAGGTGGAATTCTCTGCTAGAGACCATTATTGAGGTATAGTACATGATTTCTGATTTAAAAATAATAAATAGATGCTTGAGAAAGAGGAAAATTGCATGCTCCTAACTGTGAACCTTTGGGTCATACCTTGATGTAGAAAAATCAGCACGACTAAAAACCTACAAGTGAGAAAGCTGTAGGTGAATTATGCAGGTCTTGAACTCAGATTCCCATTGGAATCCATGTTACTGCACTGAACATTGCAATATCTCCTCCCAACATCACTATGGCATTGTCTGTTGGTTTCCAGATATACATACAGCAACTGAATGGTTACCTTGGTTGTGCTGAACAGCGTAGCCAACTTGCAGCGGTTTCCTGCTGCTGCCCTCCGAGTGGAGCCAAGCGTCTTCTTACTAATACTGTTGATCTCACCATTGGATGGGAGTTTGAGCTCTAAGAACAACACCTGGAGGAGGATGTGAAAGAAACGTGATTTTTGGTGAATGTGGAGAAGAGGAGGCAGAGTTTCTAATTGTGATGATTAATGCACCACAACACATCCAGTTTTTTACATCACCCCCTCCCCCCCCACCACCACTGCCCTTCTGTGAGGCTTTAGAGCACTCAATCTCGATGCAAGTTGCCATCCTACCTCTGCAATGTCATCTGGGCTGGTCAGAGAGAAGCTGTGTCCTGCTAGCTGGTAAGCCTGTTTCTCTATGGCACTGAGCTTGGCCTGCATGATGTGTTTCTGAGCCTCACATTCTGCCGCACTGAATCCTATTCCATTCAGCTCCAACAGGACCAGACAGTACTGACACTTCATTTCAACATTCTGAAACACGCCTGCAAACATTGATAGAAAGGACAAGGTTAAAAGAGCCTTAAGATTGTTTGTGCGACACTGCTGTGCGCAATTCGCTATCACGTTCCGCCCACAAAATACAATCAAGTCACTTTATATTCTGTGAAGCGCTTTGAGACATCTCAAAGACGTAATAAGGCACTGTATCAAATACAAGGATTAAAAGGATTAGTTTGGTTCAATTTCACAAGTGATAGGTTGTAACATAACCCTTTAGTTGTTACAGAATATAACTTGTGTTTAATGTAGCACCTTGCACATCAGCCCATTCCTAAGCACTTCACAGGATTTATTGTGAAGTGAATTGACTGTGTATTTGTGGACAAACCCAGCAGCCAAGTTGCACATAGTAATGTCCACAAACAGCCATGAAGTGAATGATCAATTTTATTTGGGGGACTGTTGGCCAGAACACCAGAAGAAAATCCCTTTCCAGTTTTAACATCTCATCTGAAGGATGGCATCTCTGACAGTATAACACACCCCCAGTATTGTACTGGAGTATCAGTGTAAGTGAGAATGTTACCGTTTTAAAAAAAAGGTTACATTCAATGAGCGCAAAAGATAACATTGATAATGACTCATGGGAATGATTATTGGTTCTAAGTTGGCATTTAGGATGAGTTTATTTTAGTAAGTTCCTTGAGGTTTCATTAAAAAACAAATAATCCTTGCATCTGAATCATCTTCTCACCTTGTGAAAATGTTGCATAACACTTTGCATAATAGGTCATTTTGAAAAGTGGTAACTGTTACAAACCAAAAGCTTATTTAATCTGGGATACTGCAATATCCTATAAACTGCAAGAAGATGAATAACAAATTGGGTTTTTATGGTGACTTTGGATAAGAGAGAAATATTGATTTGGATTGGAATAACGTCAACAAGCATTAATCAGTGGCCATGAGAATATCCTCTCTTAAAGGGAATATCATAGTGACTAATGTTTTCAGTGCACAGCATCTCTTGAGTTGAATGTTCCTTTGTCTTGAACTAAAACTCCATTATACCTTGCAGAGATTCTTTCTCCAGCAGTACGTTAAGTTGATTCATTGTATTATAGACAAGCACAGACTCGACAGAGACTCTATAACGACCAGAGATGTCTGTGTTTGCACTCAGCCCCAGACTCTGAATGCCGTGGCCAGTGCCTACTCCATGCAGTAATGCTAATTCCTGGGGGAGGAAGTTGGTCACCATATTATGGAGGGTCCTCTCTTTGGCACGAGGATCCAACAGCCAACAGGCCACCTGTAGTGGACAAACACAAAATTACTTACATCCAAATTACTTGTTAATAGCGCAGGCATTAGGCAAACAAACATGCAATTTTATACCAATTTATCATCTAGAAACATTTCAAAAGCACCAGACTGTGAGCTCATGTCCTGCTTGAACCCATAACCTTCTGCCTCAGAGGATGGAATGCCAGTAGAATCCACTGTAATAAGTGGCCAGCCTCCTGCAAAAAGCAGTTCTAGCATCAAACAACAATTTGCATTGATATAGTGACCTTCATGTGGGGCGGCGTCTCAGAGCATTTAACAGTGGCGGAGCCTGACGCTGAGCCAAGGGGAGGGAGGAGGTTACTGTAGGCACAGCCGAAGATGAAGGTCTTCAGTCATGATCTAAAGGAGGGGGCAAAGCGGAGGGATTGGGGGAGAAAGCTCCAAAACTTTAGGGGCGTAGCAAGTGAAAGTGCAGCCCCTGATGGAGAAGCGGAGGGGACGAGGGACAAGCAGGAGCCCAGAGCCAGCCAAGCGGAGACAGCGGGTAGTGGAGTGGAGAGCAAGCAACCTGTGGATCCTCAAAGTCACCCTCCATGGAGATGCTGCAGGCATGGAGCAATGTTGTGTAGTGGAGCTTAAAATCGTAGAGAACGAGGGAGCAGCCTCCCTGCTGCAGACAGGACCGCACATGGAGCAGCTTCTCAGTCACCGACAGCTCAGGGTCCAGAGGAGGAGGGGCCAAGCTGCTGCTTAAATCATCTGGAAAACAAATGTGAAAGTTACTTTACGTACATCTATCCTAAATAGTAAATGTGAAAATTCCTGTGAAATTATTGTTCAGCATTTGTACAGCTACTCAATTATACGAACAACACTTTAGGGTATCACAAAGATTTAATTGTTAAGTTCACGATTACTAAAATAATTGATTTTCACTGGGGACTTTGCAACCCAACTGTTGCCGATTCATGCATCAGTTTCCTGTCTGCAAACCAGAGAGTTAAGATAAATGTAGTTTATTGACTACATTCTTCTTGACGCAAGAAAGAAACTACACGACTGGGAGGAATTAGTGACATGGGTCCACCTTACCTATTGCCAGACAGTCAGCTAATCAAGAACCACAGCCAGACTGGCCCCCAATCCATCTCACCCACAGTATTTCTTAAGGTGATACACGCAGATCGGTTCATGAGTTTGGCATAATTTGTTCACAGTCGTGTGTTTATTACCTACTTAATAGCTATCAATGTGTTCAGGAATTACAATCCTCAGCTGCATATTCTAGTTAGAGATTATATAGGACAATCAAAAGAGATTTATTCAATACAAATTTATATTTATCTAGTGATTTCACATCTGAAAGATATCCCAAAGCACTTGACAGTCCAGCATGGCACCCGAGCTGGGGGTGGGAGCAGCACAGGGTGGGGAGGGAAAGGATGACTGAAGGAAGGCTTGATAAAAGAGACATACAAAGGCTTGTGAGAAGCCTCCATTTTAAATTTTTCACTGTCCAGCTCACGTCCCTATTCTTACCAGGACTCTCCTCACGCTCCTGCAAGGAGATATAATAAGCGTCCTTCCCTCCCCAGCACACACATAAACCAGTCACCACCAGGCCTTTGTGACCGTTCATTGCAAACCCACAAGTCTTTGTTGAAATCCTTGCCGGACTCTGAGCTGGAAAATAAATGTGGCATTGTAATAAACTGCACTTCCAAAATAATTAGAAGACATGATAAGGCACTATATCAAATGCTAGGATTATTATAACTGTAGAATGGTAATTTGTTGAATGTACAGATTTTTCAAACATCTCAAAGCGGAGGCAGTTGGGGACTTCAGGCTTTGTGTCCGAGCTAGGTTCTCCTCTTTCAACAACACAACAACAAATTACACTTATATAGCAGCCTTTACATTGGAAGACATCCCAGGGCATTTGAGTCAGGGTTTTTTTGGACCCGAGCTGGGAGTTGGGGTCAGGAGGGATGGAGGACAGGGAGGGTAGTGTTTCACTGCATCCAGACACTTTTATTTAGCAAATCCAATTAAATGACCATGACAACAAAAATGTATTCATATTTTTTTTTGCATTTGATATAGCACCTTATTAATATCTTGGGATACAGTGTATAGTTTGGAACATGACATGTGTATGGGATTGCCAGGCTGTTGGAAGGCGAACTGGATTTGCATCCAGCAAATTCTTATGTTCTTATCTCCTCCCCAAGGCCAACCTCATGGTTGGTTCAGAGGCAGGAACATCCTTGATGATGATTAAGATTGCCGCAGCTTTATGATAATTAGTTCTGAACAGTTATTTAGTATGTCAAATTTATGAAACATGTTACTTCATGTTTAATGCAGTTTTGGACAGCTGATGAGATAATGACAGAATCACATCCAGGTTGGATCCTTCTCCCAACTAATAAATATTTGATTTCAGGGGTGGGAAGAATTGAGGGGGAACGACTGCATGATAGAAATCAGACAGGTTAATTTTTTGGCAGCTTCACCCACTGCTGCTCTTGAACCACTGAGAGGGTAATGTAGAATGCAGTATAGGTGCTGTCTGACCCCCCCCACCCAGGGCAAATACATTACAGTGCAATCCGAACCCAGGGATTCACACAGTTGTTAACATGCTCCAGTGAAGCCACAGCATCCAGGGAACTCACAGCACATGTAATAATATAATCGTTACATTTGATATAGTGCTTTTCACATCTTCTAGCCGTCTCAAAGTGCTTCACAGAATATATTGTAAGGTGAATTGACTGTATATTTGTGGGCAAAACGCAGCAGCCAATTGCGCACAGCAGTGTCCCACAAACAGTCGTGGATTGAGTGACAAAATTATTATTGATTTTTTTTTCTTGAGGGATTATTATCAGGTGTGTGGAGTAAGGAAACTTGCCCAACATTTCGCCCTGCCAGGAATCGAACCCAGATCTCTCGCTTGCGAGGCGAGTGCTCTAACCACTGAGCTACTGGTCTCCACACGGTACGTATCGCTTGAGTGCACATGTAAGCCTCCAGAAACACTGCTACCGTACTCACTTGACTGAAACCTGCCACCAATCACAGAGCCGGGCGACAGAACACGTTCCCGTTTCTCACATGCCACTGAAAGTGCAAATCTGTGTTTACTTTTCCACTCCTGAATGAAGGTCTGGAAAAGTGCCCGACTGCTAGCCACATCGATGATGGTGAAAGTCTCTGCGCTGCAGGGCCCACAAGATGATAACACAGCGTCCTGCGACAACTCTAGTAAAAAGCCTTCGTCTATGAGAGAGCCATCATCTCCATTCACCACTGTTTTCGAATCAACGTTTTGATGAGTTGGGAGCTTTCCTGCATCGTCACCTAAAACAACACGTTCATGAGCGGAGGCATCAGGAATTTCCTTCCGCAAAGGACACTTCTGGCTCTTTTTATCAGAACTCCTTTGATCTGCTGTTGAAGTTGACTTGATTTTGATTCTCGGAGTCACGGGTTCACTGGGAGGTGTGGGGGGAACTTCATTTCGACTGTCTGGCCTGCATTCCATGCCCTTAGTCATCTCTAAACGGGGCGCATTATTACTTTGGTGCTCATCTGTTGGCACCTTCTTCCTTTGATCTGGTGATGAACCATTGGATGTTTTCCCCATTGTTTGAATGATCAGATGATTTGTGGCATCCCTGCTTCCACAAGCTGTATCCTGTATGCCACCAGGTTCTGTGAATCCTTTTAAATCTTGGTCCTTTTTCAGATCATTTTGTAGATCTTCTGTAGTATTAGGTTTCTCCTCTGAAGGAGCTGGCCATTGATCCAGTACCTCCCTGAACCCTGGACTTAGGGTCAGGGTCAGCGTGTCTGACCCCAACTGGTTACATTCGTCCGTTACTTTCCTTTCCGTTGAATCATCAAATAAGCCTTCTCCACTTCCTTTTGTCAACATGCCTTCCTTTGGTTTACTCCAACTTTCGATTACACCATTCACTTTCTTCCCCAGTTCTTGTAATGTTAAATCACTGATGACATCTCTGCCCACACTGTGCGCTGGAGACCCCGACGTGCAAACAACAGGGTCCAAATTTTGGAAGGAATCTTGAAAATCAGAGAGGCCGAAGGAGAATTGATTCCAACGGAAACATTCATCAGCAAGTTCACCAGCTGGATTGTGTATTGTATTTTGATCCTGTAATCCTGCAAATTCTGCAAACAAAGATGGGGAAGACAGGCTTTCAATGGTGACATCTGCCCTGGGTACTGGTAGCTGGCTTTGTGGACAACCCTGTACAAGCGCATCTTCTGCTGGGGGCAAGTCAGTAAAGCTATCAAACAGCAAACTATCACTCATGTTCAGGGACGTCTCATCCTCAAAGACTGGGTGACTGGCATTCAGTCCTGATTGTAAACTAAGTTTTTCACTGTTGGGAATTAGGTTATTCAATGTCCCATTTACCTCTTGAACCAAAACAGGTGAGGCTGCTTCTTCAGTAAACGCCTGAGTTCGGTATCCTTGCATGAAACTCTCCAGCTGAGTATCAACTAAAGAAAAATCATTCCCTTTCATTGAAGATGGACTTGTTTCAGTGGATAGAGTGAGACTATTAGGAGAGGATGTGGAAGGTTTAGTTAAATGGAAGGACAGTACTTTCCCACAGCTCTGCACCTGAACAGCACCTAAGTTTGACTGAGGCATTTGCTTAGATTTTACTCTCACTGTAGGCTTACTTGTGGATGACTCACTTCCAGACAAAGCTTTATCAGGTTGCCCTGAGCTTGTTTCAACATCACTGACATTCTTGCCATTGCCTGAGGTGGATTGGTCTCCCACAGTTAATTTAGTGTTCCCATTCTCTAGCTGATCCTTATAGACAGACAACACCACAGAAGCTTGATCCAGCATTTTCTCGGTTTGCGAGTCCAGCTGAAAGCTTTCCTCAAACTCTCTTGGGGCAGAATACAGCTCAGGAGACTTGCTCCCAACAACATTTGGATTGTGTGTATCACCAGTCTTATTGATGGTTACAGAACCACACTCTTTACAACTAAGATCATTATCATTCTTATTTTCACGTGGGGTTGGCTGGGAAGTTTTAGCTGGATGGTCCAGAACAATTTTCTGTTCCGTTTCCCCGTCGCTTTTAGCAGCTTGATTTACTGGAGAGGAATTCACTGCAATGGAGTCACCACCTCGACTATCAGCATCTTTCACAGCTTCACCTTGATCCAGGGCACAATTCCCAACTTCAGATGGTTCCAAACTCTTGACCGCTCTCTTGTTGGGTCCATCACTCGTGAAACAGACCAAACCAGCCGAGGGCTTCTCTTTAGCCATGTCTGGACAATGTCTAGAAACAAGGCTTTGCCCACTTCGCATGGAATTTAAATCAGTCACGACACCGGCATGTTTTGATGGACTAGCAACTGAGACTGAACCTCTCAGCCCTTTCACAGCTGCCTCGGTCTTTAGATCCAGGGATGGAGCGTCATCGAGCTTCGGTTTGTTCTCAGCCCCAGGGGCAGGTAAAGCAAATCCTTGCTGAGAATTAGCTGACAGCTGCTCAGGGTTCCAGTCCACCCCCATCTGGGCAAGATCTTGTTGAAGGAGCTTCCTGGCCTCTTCCACAATCAAGATAGCAGCGTCTCTCTCAGTCAGACTTTTCTTACCACTCACCCAGATACAGCGAGTTGCCCTTCGCTCCCGAGCTTCACCCTCGCTCTCATCTACTGCCCTCCTGGAACTGTGGAAAGATAAGATATTAATTAACTGACTGTGTTGAAGTTCACTCTCTCAGAGCTTCCTTTGAGAAAAAAAGAGTTTGTTTGAATGGAATTGTACAGCTGACAGTGGAACAAGGTTATTCGCCAGAAATAGACATCAATAATTAAGATAAGCCAAAAGACTTTAACATTTAATTTAATTGAACGGATGGACTTTTTTTTAACAATACATTCAATTAACTTTTTGCTTTAAATCTAATGTTTTCTAAAAAAAAAATCTCAGCACTTGGAAATTTCCAGCAGAATCCTCTTACTGTTTTATGAACTTTAACTGGGAAACTGGGGGAGGAAAATAAAATGTTTGCCTTAATTTCCACTTGATCGCAACTGTCTTAAAATGCACTAATCTCCAATTGATTTCATAAATATGAACTTGATCTGCCTCTAGTTTGCTAGTTAAATTTCCGTCCCACCTCCCTACTCTGCATTGCAGTAAACTATACAGATAACTCATCGATCCAAGGGAAAAGGGCTCAGTGATGAATAATCCAGAGTGATAAGTTATGCATATATATAATATATATAATACGTAAATAAATGCGACCAGGATATTGACAGTATGATGACTTATTCAATAGTGACACGTTAAGCCAGGGTCGGGGTATCAGGAGTTTACTGTATTTACCCAGGATCATCAACTTTAACATCTCCAAACCTAAGGTGTCCCCTCTATTTTGTCACTCTATCCTACAGGTTTGTTTCCTCTTTCTTCCTTTTTATTAAATAAGTTGATCTGGGGTTTCGCTCCCACTGAGTTCACGTCTGCTTTTTCTTTTCAAAACCTCCTATGAACAGCATTTCACAATTAGTCAGTGGCTTTGTACACATGTTTAAACATCTTAATAATATGCCAACAACTTGAGCGAGTGTCGAGGTAGTTCTCCCAGGTAGATCTGTACCTTTTAAATGGGACGGCATTTTTCAGAGCCGTTTCCACTTCGAGAAGGTTTCCACGTGCCAGGTCGGATACAGTGAAGAATCCCGCACCATACAGCGCTCGAGCCCGCTGAGCGTTGAGTAAAGAAATCCGCACCAGATCGCAGAGCTCCCGCTGAATACCGAAACTAAGGCGGCTCTGAAAGTGCGAGAGGAGCAGCTCCATATTGTGCCAGCCAAGCCTGCTACAGAACATGGTGACCATGCCTGGCCAAAGGAACCAATGGTAAGAGTTAGTGCATACACAGATATTGCTGGTCTCAATTGGTTGCAATGTTTCGCCCACAAATACACAGTCAATTCACTTTACAATATATTGTGTGAAGCGCTTCGAGATGTCTCAACGGCATAAGGCGCTATATCAAATGCAAGGGTTATTATTATTATTATTATTGAAGCAGCTTTAGAAAGAATTGCATTGTTTAGAAGCAGCTCGAGATGAAGCAAAACATTTAATAATGGCCTTGCATATAGACTTTACACATCTTAATATGCCATTCTGAACGGTCGAAACCAGCCTGTAAATGTGAATGTTCATCATTTTTGACTCTCACCTGCATACGTTGCTGCCGACTGTTGGAGAGACTGAAGCTGCCCCCGGCTACAGCAGTACTTCTTTGCAACGATTCCAAGGGGAACCTCATTGATTAGATCAAGCAGTACGAGGCTGGTAAAAAATCTGCAGCATTGAGAAAACAAGGAGTGAGTGTCTGTCAGAATAATCTTGCTTCACAACAGGCTGACAAACTTACTGGGGAAGGCCCACGGAATATCTATAGGATGCTTAAAGTCTTAAGGGGAGCGACAAATTGTAACTGAATTCTCAATAAGCAATTCAGAAATGCATCACACTGACATACGACTAGTGACAATTTATTTTCAAACAGTTTAATTGGGTGTAATGGCTTGTGTCCATTTACAGGAAGAAAGCCCCACTTTGATTTCTTATGTAGGAATTATTTTAGAAATCGATCACATTAGACCCCACTGATAACTGCTGTGCAAAAACCAGCTAAGAGTATAGATTTTTTTTAAAAATTCACTTCAGCAACATCATGAATGAGGCTTCAGGAGTGAGGACAACAGAGCTGTTTAACTTAGTCACCACTACTGCACTAGTTGTTCAATTTCAGCCACGATCTAGTGGAATAAATCATTTATTAAGAACTGTTGTACGACTCCATCAATAAAAATTCCACCTTTTGAGCGAGGAATATAACCAGCATTAAGGGGGAAAAAAAAGAAAGTAAAAGACTATGAAAAGCAAACTTTTAAAAGAGAATTTTGAATGCCCAGAGATGGAGTTAAGACCAAATTAATATTACAAAATATTCCCAGTCTGTATACCTTTTGTGAATAGCCATCTGTCTGTATTGCTTCTCAGTCCTGGCTATAAGTTTCCCTTTCACTGAGCGAGCCAGGAAACCCTCCTCAATGCCAACCAACTCCGCTACTCGCTTCATTGAGCCTGGCAACTTCTCCCACATACAGAAAAACTGATACCAGTCAATGGTCGCCCATTCCTCATAAACTGGTGTGACCTGAGAGCATCATGGAATGGAGAGATAACAGATTACTGCTTCAACCTCAAACCTTCTTCAACCTCCTTCCTGTAATTCACTTCAGTTTGCTCGTGATATAGGCAGAGCCTACCGTGTGTAGATGTTCAGTTTGAAAACTTGACCTCTATAATGAGCAAGCAACTAAGATATTTCAATAGCTCCATATTAATTAATGAGTCTGATCACTGTACACATCACTGATCTAGGTACAATGTTAAAGGTAAAACACAATCCCAGTGACAGAAAACTCCGTCCAACTGAAACAAAACGGTTCCTCCTCAACTTCTGGACTTGCCATCAATTATTGTACATCATGTAACTTAAACAGCAGAAATAAAGGTATGCCCTCAACTGTGATTTAACTGGGTCACTATTTTGGTTATCAAATATTTAAACTGGTTTATTCCATCTGCCTAAGGATCTCACTAACTTTTAAGTCTGTAGCATGTGCTCACCACAATGCGGTGTCCTCCATAACAAATGAGCCCAATGATGTCGAGTTATATTTTTCTCTCAGCTGTCCTGTACATTAAGTTACTCAGAATTTAGCCAGTTGCCTCTTAATTTAGTCCTCAATAAGACTATTCCAGCCACTGGTCAACTGAAATTGTACTTTCATAACTATTGTTAATTTTATAGGCATATTTGTGAATTTCAAATGCAACCATTTTCAAATCGAGTATATTAACAAAATAGAAAGCTGTGAATGATTTAAAAGCATTACAGATTTGTGCTGTCCCCTGCAATGAGTGGTGCAATTTCAATCTAAGGTAACTTTCAATCTAAGGTCACGCTTTCAAACTGTCAATCACAGAGGTACCCTACCAACCAGCATATCACCAGATCTGCTCTAGGGCCATTCAGAACAATCAATAATGTTGTTCATTGACACAACAACGGGTTGAGATTGAAATCAACAAGGAGCTTGCTCTGTTAGATTACATATATTTATGTTAAACACCAAAGAAAATGCCTTCTGTACCTGATAGAGAATATGGAGATCATTCTCCAACACAAAGCCTTTCATTGCCCTCTGCAGATCAGCAAAGATTCCCAGTGCCTCTGGAGGGGAGAGGGAAGAAGCAAGTGTGGCTGTACCCAGCTGTGTAGGGTGATAACGCTGAACTATTCAAAAGAAAATAATTAAATCGACGCAATGCATAAATTCATTGATATTACATTCGTGTCTTACTGAGTGAGGTCACTTCAGTTTTGCCACAAGAGTGGATTTTAAAAGTGCAAAGTATTCTTTTCACACATCATTACTACAATCCAAGAATGTGATAATTTTGGTTCTTAAAAACTGTAATGTAAAGCAGTTCTCTATTGCAGAAGACAGGGAAAAAGAGAGGGGTGGGGGGGAGTTGAAAAAGTATAGAAATTAAGACCAATGTAATGCAAATATTGAAAAAGTGAAGTGATGATATTGCTCTAAGAAAATGAAGTTCCACTATAGCTGATCTGTCCAACTTTTTGATGCCGGAAATCAACAGAATCTGATAAAGCGTTATAACAGTAATTTCAACTTTTCAATTTCTTCCTCTTTCAGATTATTATGGATGAGTTGTAGATTTTCAGCATTTTCTTTAGCTATCCAGCATCTGCAGTGTTTTGCCACAGCCTTAAATTTATACTTACGATTTCTTATCTATGCATCTTGCTAGACTTCAATAATTTCTGAAAATGGAATGGCTCTGTGTAAAGAAACAGGGACTGACCCTGCCTCACTCTCACATAAACTCGCATAAACAACGTGCACAAAGCATATGCACTGACGTCTTCTGGACTATTGGCAGAGTGTTAGGCCCACCCCTGCATATCCCAGAATGTGAGTTTCTGACCCCAGTCAGGAGAGGTAAAACCCATAGGGAAGAGGAACACTTCCCCTCTGACTGGGGATCAGAAGCTCAAAGGATTCCAACTCTTCAACTCTATTCAATTCTCACCCACCACCTCAGACTTGCTTATAAAGTAAATATCGACTGAGTTCTAGGAAGTCACCAGCCCAGGTTACTGGGAATAGTAAATGGTGGACAAAGAAAGACAAATCTACAAAAATAAAAACTTACTGATTGTTTCCTAAAAAAATAAATGAAACAAGAGAAAAATCTTAAAATCCACAGTGCCTTCATTCCAAGGAGATTCTTTCACTGCCATTTGAACAGTGTCAAGGGTGATATTACACAGATGTCAAACACTTATATGAAAATAAACTGAAATGGGGCAGGAGAGGGGAGATGGGGAAAAACTTATAAAACATAAAATTCCAAACAAAACTCAGTCTGTGAGCGGGATAGGAAGACGGCTAATTATTTCAATTCAGATGTTTTTAAACAAAAATACACAAAGTAAAATAGACAAATTATGGCAACATGGAGCTCACTATGTCAGTAAATTGAAAATATTTGCAAATTGGTTTCTTTTCATCTATAGTTATAATAATCCTTGCATTTGATATAGTGCTTTTCACGTCTTCTAGACGTCTCAAAGCGCTTCACAGAATATACTGTAAAGTGAATTGACTGTATATTTGTGGGCGAAATCTGGCAGCCAATTGCGCACAGCAGTGTCCCACAAACAGTCGTGGATTGAAGTAACCAATTTTTTTTATTATTTCTTTATTCTTGAGGGATTATCATCAGACATGTAGAGTAAGGAGGAAACTTGCTCAAGGTTTCGCCCTGCCGGGAATCGAACCCAGATATCTCGATTGCGAGGCAAGTGCTCTAACCACTGAGCTACAGGACTCCAACACAAATAGAACAAGTTAATGGAATAACTTACTTTTTTTCCCTTCCTGTTCCTCTTCCAAGATCTGAATAAACTCATTCTCCATTAGGTACCGAACACAGTCTTCGATAGCATCACCCTGGATCGACCCGGCCTCACTCTCACATAAGCTTGCAGCTAGCAGTGTGCATGAAGCATATGCACTGACTTCTTCTGGGCTGCTGGCTACACCACCCACTATTATCTGTAACAGGGAGAAAGAGATAATGCTGCTAGAAATTGACCGTCATTCAACATATTCCTCACAAATCAGGTGGACCCAGTAATAAAATTACTGCACTAGAACTTATTCAAGTTCCAGTTCTGTACAGATCATAATCACAATGCAGTTGTTTGGGGCTGTCTCAACAACACGATAAAACAGTATGTCAAATACAAGGGTTATTATTAATGAACCAAATCGAAGCATACAATTCCAATGTACTAAGAGTTCATTCTCATGAACCAAGTTGTGTTAGGAATTGTATCCCTCTCTTCTCTCCCCATCCCTCAGAGTTTCTATTCTCTCATATATAAATCTTTGAACCCAATCAATGGCATCAGTGTATTACCAGGCCTGAAATTGCTTTAATACCAGCAGCAGAATCTCCTTGGAATGCTTTTAGTGTTTTTGTTTCACTTCAGTTGATAAACAAATTATTAAACAGGCTGCGATATAATGATCTGTAAATTGACTGTTCACAGAGAAGCTAATGCAACTATAAACTGCAACAAAACAAAAACAGGCAGATTCAAATTCACTCATGCCAGCGTATCATGTTTTATTCCATTTCGTCCATAAAATATTCAAAATATACAGTCAATTCACTTTACAGTATATTCTATGAAGCGCTTTGGGATGTCTCAAAGACGTGATAAGGTGCTATATCCAATACAAAAATTATTATTATACCTAAAACAACAAACCCATCACAGGGCCTCTCAAAACTTAAGGTGAGACTTTCACACAATTCATCACTGACTATCCTACGTGATTAGAACCCTGTTTACCAGGCTGGATAGCAATCCTTTTAAGCAGTATGTTTCATGGTACTTGGCTTTGATGAGCAAATCTCAAATTGGTTCCTATTCCTCCATCATCTTACCTCAAGGATAGCTCGAATCATGCTGGTAGTAGCGCCCTCTCCCTCCTTCTTCACAAGACAGCTACGAACAGGCTTGAGAGAGCCCTGCAACAAGTTCACTCCTTTAGATTTCTCAGCTTTCTTACACACAAGGATACTTTCACCTGGAACAACAACAAATTACATTTCCATAGCATCTTTCACATCGGGAGGACATCCCAAGGTGCTGAACAGTCAGGAATCTGGGACATTCCCCACAGCATTTATCCTGGAGTATAATGTCCAACAAAAACATTTTTCATCACCCTGCCATAAAACAATTTGCTACGCTTACCCATAGTGTCAACTCCCTTCCTCCCAGCTCTCCCAGACATCTGTTTGTATGTGAGGATATCAAGCAGGCGTCCATTAAAGACCGGGGATCTGACAATCACACGGCGAGCAGGTAGATTCACCCCAGAGGACAGAGTTGAAGTAGCCACAAGAACCCGAACCAATCCCTGGCGAAAGGCGCCCTCGATAATGTCTCGCTCATCAAACGTCAATCCTAAAAATAAAAGAGAGTAAAACAATATGGGCATCAGTCAAACACCAATTATTATGCTTCCAGTCACTCACCAACTGTACCACGATTTACCAAATATCAATATTCAATTTGGTAATGATATGGCATAAACACACTAGATATAATTCAGCTGATAAATGTCATTTCCTGATGGTTTTCTCAAGCTAGCCATCACCCTGATCCCTGTGCAACAATGAGTACTCTTTGTACCTTTTAACAGTACTGCTGTTACTTGCAGTGAACACAATGATGTAAGTACATACATTTCACAAAATTATATTTATATTTCCATTTGTTTAAAATTCAGAGTATGCACAGTCCAGGATCACTTAGTTTGGCCCAGTGTCACTTTCTGCAACTCAACTCCAATCCACATTACCCGCCAACTAGATACTGATTCACTCACATGATCGCAAGGAAGATGGGATTAAGAAGGCCTTTCACCCCATTTGATCTCATCCTTCTAGAGAACTCACCCTATTGTCTTTCTATCATAGCATCAAGATGTTTCTTAAATGAGTCCTTGGTCATGGCATTTAACACTCTTCCTCAGAACTAGTTCCAGTTGTTGAGAAACCTTTCTGTAATGAAACACTTCCTGGTGTCTATCTGAAAATTGTTCTTCAAAACCCTGAACCTGTACCTTCTTGCTGCTGTCTTGGGGTATCTGAAAGTATTCTCATGTCATACACCTAGAAATGAACTAAGAAACACCTTTTCACAGGTTTAGCTAGCTCCACACTCACAAACATTGCAACTTACCCAAAGAAAAACTGGATCAGTTCCCTGCAAAGAAACATGACCCTCACTATATCTAGCAATTTTTATTGAAGCTATGCTACGTAAAAAGAAAGAACTTTTTACAGCACCTTATGTCAAAACATCTGAAAGCAGTTTGTAGGTAATCCAAGTCAACTGCAGTGACTGTTTTTGTCAAAGCAAAATGCAGGTTTATTCCAGGAAATTGCATTAAAAAAATATGGCCTCAGACATTCAAGGAAAAAAGGTTTACAAGAAAAGTGCAAAAACAGCAAGGTAGAATTCTGCAATACCAGCATGATGAAAGGCCACCCCTAGTGGTATAGTGCGGCCAAGCACTGCGTCCAGCCCGGCAGGAGACCTCTTCAGCTGATCCAGGATCTCCGTGACTCCACCCCCCTCCTGCATGAACGGCAGTAAGCTGGACGCCTTCACAAATCCTGCACCAAAACACAACCAAATGAGACCCAGAGGTCAAAGGCTGAGCAAAGTGTCTGTACAATGATGCTGATCATAAGAATCATCACTGAAAACTGCACAACCCAAAATATCTGAAGCTTTCTAATAAGTGATGAAGGAACACCTATACTGTAGATATTTATCTACGTCAACAACAACTTACAACAACAACAACTACTTGGATTTATATAGCGCCTTCCACGCCGGACGGCGTCTCAGAACACAAAACAAAATGAATTATTTTAACTATGAACTACAAATACCACAGAATTCATAAAAATCAACAGAGGTGCTAAAAATTACTATGAATGTATGTGTCTCGTCAGAGTCAAGCTCAGCTGTGATACCTTCCATCCCCCCCCCCCATACACCCTGCCAATAGCTACTGTCAAGGCTCACTTGAACAATGAGCAATGGCCATTTGGGCAGGGTACTCGAGAGTCAATAGGGAACCATGCCTCAAATAGAAGGAAAGAAGGAGTTAAATGCCCAAGAAACCAGAAAATTGAAGGTACAAAATCGTCAAAAGTAGCTGGAAGTTTGGACTCTTCAAATTCAGACCTCCCATCATCAGAAAGCATCCAAATTCATACATGTCCACATTCGATCCAAGGTCCAAGTCAAAAACCTCCAAAGTACAAACAACCGTGAAATTTAAAAGGCAGATTTGATCTGAAATGTGTCTGTCTGTGACTGACAATCTTATTTCACTAAGGTTTCAATATGTAATGTACAATATAGGTGGACAACTTACCCTTAGCACCAGGAGCAGATCTCTGCTGGAGATAGTAAAACTCTCTGGCGATGGTCTCAGACAGCTTTTCACACCAGTTCTTGGAAGGACAGAAGAGCAGGACGGAGTGACCGCCCTGCAGTGTTTCATAACAAAGGCTGACGATGTGATCCCCATCACCCTACAGACAAACACAGCGTGCACTCAAACCAGAGGTCAACATAGTCTGCTCAAAACAGAAACTTTTTCTTTCAGAATATGAATTTCCCCCACCACCACTACCGAAGGCACCAATTCACTCTGGGACACAGTCCCAAAGCCACCAGCTCCTCTTTGCTACCTTGCCAAAAAGTCCACGCTTATATAATAATAATCCTTGTATTTGATATAGCGCCTTATCACGCCTTCGAGGCGTTTCAAAGGGCTTCACAGAATATATGGTAAAGTGAATCGACTGTGCATTTTGTGGGCGGAACACTCTTGTGAGCCCCGAAAACACGTCATCAGGCTATTCATCCAGAAGGGGAAAGGAAGGGAGTCATCACAACTGCAGCTGGGCAAGAAACCTGACTACTCCAGGCCCTCTCCACAATTTTCTGCCTCTTGCTCCTCCTCCTCCTCTGTTGATGGCAAGAATGGAAGGGAATTTTTTTCCCAAAAGCAAAATTTACAATTTTGTTCAACATCTTTTACAATTTTCATTTACAAATATAACCCAATGAAATCAATATTTAATATTTTGTCCATGTATATAAACGCTGGGAAAGTACTAGCCTGGTTGGTCATATCCTGGTAGTGGGGAAAACATGGGGAAGGAAAATGGGGAAGGAAGGCGCAAGGCAGAGGGATAGAGGAAGAGTGTTCCAGAGTTTCGGGGAGTAGTGGCTGAAAGCACAACCATCAATGGGGGAACGGATGGCATGGGGGACATGCAGAAGGCCGGAGCCGACATCACTGGTCAACACGTTTTGTTCAGTAACTATCATCACAAATGAAGCGCTTTTATGACAGAGTTCTACTGATGATGTCCAAAAAGTCAATTACTGATATATTTAAAAATCCTAAAAGCAATATTGAAGTTAAGAGTGTTTTAATAACCTTTTCCCCAAGGCTGCTCTGACTTGAGAATAATATCACGGAAATCTCTACCTTGACTTGCAGTGCAGGCTGAAATTCTCGCACCACTGTCATTGTTGAATCATATATTGAGTTCCCGATCTTAACCCATTCCATGAGAGGTACAGGCCGGAAGTTTGTACGATACAGTTCTGCATTTAGCCAAGTTGCCAAAATCCCTAGGTTTGGGAGGGTGGCACTCATCCCTATAATCTGTACCCCTTCGTTGAAATGCTGCTCGTTTGCTCCAATCTTTGCTGCCTGGAAATAACAACACACATCTTCTATTAACTCCTTTTATCAATCATAATAAACCTTACATTTGATAAAAGTGCCTTATAACGTCGTTGAGACTTAAATGTCGTTCACCTTAAGCTGGTTTCCAGCAACATTTTATGAGATAATATGATTTTAATTATGTTCACCATGACACAAAGCTCATTTCATGCTACATCAAACTTCTTCACAAAAGTCAATCTGTCAAAACAGCTGCAACTCTCAAAGTCTCAGACAAATCTTAAACTATTGCAGACTCCCCTCTAACTCCTAGGGGGAAAGCTCTAAAGGAGATGCTCCCTGATTCTTAAAGGTAATCAAACTAAAACTTCAGATATCCATTCATCATCTTTTTCCTACTATTCCTACTCCGCAACAAACCCAGGAGCAGAAAATTGGTGCATTTCTTAACCTCAGTCTATTTTTATAATATCCAATGCTATCCCAAATGGATACTCCACACCTAGCATCAAATTATCATCAAAGCTTCATAGAACTAAACCAGCTTTAAACCCATCTTGCAAATCAACATAGTTTCTTTGAATTTTAGCATTCCAAAATCTCACAAGTGAAACTTTATCAAATGCTTTCTGAAATCTCAAGTACATTATAATTAATGGCTAGACTTCAAAGAATTCCAGTAGATAGTGACAAAAAGATATATTTCTTCTGAATCCATAACTGACTACTCTCTATAGCTTTTATACTATTTACAGATGGCTGTTCTCCAACAGATCAGTACAAGGAGCAAGAGGGCAGCCAAGGATATCAATTCCTTCTATACTATGGGAAATTGCCTGGTCTTTGTCTGAACCTCCTGTACATGGCAGAAAATCATAATGGGAAAATCACAAGCATAAACGAAAACACTGCATTTTATCTAAATTGAGCAACACATTATTGGACTATCTGCCAGAGGAAATAGAACAAATTCAATAAATTGCAGGCTGGTTTTCAGTTATAAGTTTACCTTTTTGCTGTCTTTTGACTGACATACAGTATCTTAGTTAAAAGAAGTTCCAACAGGTATCCTCTGTGTGAATCCCCCAACATGTGCAATTCATCAACGACGACTATTCCTGTGAACACAGTTCAGAAATTAGAGTAAGATCACTAGGGCCTGAAGTCAGAAATCCAAAGCCTTGTAGTAGTAATAATAATAATCCTTGCATTTGATATAGCGCTTATCACGTCTTTGAGACATCTCAAAGCGCTTCACAGAGTATTCTGTAAAGTGTAGTGACTGTGTATTTTATGGGTGCAACACAGCAGCCAATTGCGCAGAGCAGTGTTCCACAAACAATCGGAATCTCTATCAAGGAATACAACATAATTCTACTTATCTGCAGACAATTCATGTTTTGTCCAAGTTTTAAAAACAACCGTATTACGGTTTTCTTAAAAAAAACTCTTTTGTGGGTTTACCCAGAACTTGAGCTCGAAAGAACAGGCGACAACTAATATTTGATGGATTCTCATTTGAATAGTGAATACTTGCTTCCCACGACTTTCACCATCTAAAATAGCCAACCGTAGGGGTAGTGCAATACAAACAAAATCATTCACTAAAAACATTTTGAAGTGCTCACCGAGTTTCTCCATTTTCTCCTCCTCAATGATTCGGTTGATCAATCCATTGGCTTTCTCAATTGTGCACACAGCTACATCTAGTGATGAAAATCCCCCCGCAGGTGACATGCTTCCCATGTATCCCTCCACTCTCACCCCAACCTCCTGAAATATATTCTAATAGAACAGATAAAGTATCAAAATATCAGTACATCAAAGTATAAATCAACTTAGATTTTATGCCAGTTCTGATGGATCTTTAGTTCCTCGCTGTAAGCGTGGAATTCGACATTTATTTGGATACTTGGTTACTCACTGACCTGTAGGTAATACATTTTTTCTTTCGCCACAGAAACAAAAGGAAGAATGAAGAGAGCTTTCTTCCTGGTTTCCAAAACTCTCTTTAAAATCAGCAACTCTGCGATCAGAGTCTTTCCAGCACTGGTAGGGGCTGCAACACAAAGAGCAGAAGTTTATACTAATAACATGACCAGATGGCACAGCATCACGTAATAACACTGAGCTTCACCTCTGACACCTGATACTAGAGAAAGTGAAAAAAATCCCACCTAATCCACTGTAAACAATGCAATTACAACAATCATGTATAATATATATAAATATAGTGAGTAACCAAGTATATATATATATTTAAAGGCAATGCACTAGATGAACTGTGCTAGTCTTTGAAGATTGAATGTTTAGATTTCTGTTTTGTACCAATCCAGTTATTAAGTGAACTAACATATAAAAATAAACTTTAAACACAAATTCACATCCAGTTAACCAGGCAGGGTGATATTTGACAGATTTTGAGGAGAGGTTTTCCCACAAATAAACAGAGCATTTCAGTTTTCATTTCAGATTTCTAGCATTTGCAGATTTTCTTTTTCTTTCTATTGCCACAAATCCTTCAGGCATCTTGAATTTTCACTGAGATCTTAGTTGCTAATACGTATTACTGCGGCAATAAATCATTATAAATCAGCTGAAGTGGACAAAGTTTTACATGTAATAAAAACAGAAGTCGCTGGGAACACGCAGCAGGTCAGGCAGCATCTACGGAGCAATGTTAATGAGTTAAGGTTTCAGGTTGATGACCTTTCGTCAGAATTCCGTGTTCAAATCACGTGAAGGTCAATGTCTTGATTCAGATTTGCACAAAAACAGTGAAGTGGACAGTTTTATCTGCTGAGTTTAAAGTCTTACATGTTGCTGTTTCAAGCAAATCAGTTTAAGTGGACAAAGTTTATTGTTACCTGAATAGACCAGGTTTTTTCCCTCCAACACTCCAGGCTGAGTCAGACACTCCGCTTGCCATTCAAAAATGCTCACCACCCCCAGGCTCCGATATTTCTCCAGAACCGCTCTAGGCAGCCCCCAGTTACACAACAGCAGCTTCTCTGCCTGTCCTGCAGGGGCAGCTAACTCACATTGTCCTGCAAAAAGATTGAGACAGGAAAACACAGTATTTACTGAGAAGTGTACCAGACACAGCAATAGCATTCCTTATTATCAACCGAGTGAGACTAAATAATAAGTTGTTAGCTAAGATAAAAGGCCACAATTCAGAATGACAGGACTCCCACAAAACCACCATTATTTAAATGTCTAGCAAAGAATCTAGCTGTGCATTACCTGGAAACATTCCCACTGTACATTTAGATAAAACCTTAATCCTTAGTCTCATACAAGGGTTAAATATTTATCAGGATAGAAGATTCCTCTGGGATAGGAATGAAAAAAGAATCAGTCAGTGTTTTCTTCAGAGATCCCTGCTAGAAAAGTGCCTGTGTACAAACAGACTACAGGTGACGTGAGAACAGGCTCAGCTGCGATGGTCCACGGCCAAATAACTTGCCAACATTCACTGTCAAGTTTCATACATAAATATTACTCCCGTACTTGCCTCCGATGTTGGAGGGTGCTGCACACCAGTAAAAGAGAGAAAGGAGTCAAACGGCTTCCAGAAAGGGAATAACTTGGAAAAATGTCAGCAACATTTTTTTTCTCCACTGTGGTTTCCTGGTCACTGAAGCAACATAATTGGTGGCCACACTATATTGTTACATCCAGGGCCGAGCTTTGCTGCCATCTTAAAACCTCCAAGTCATTCTGACTGGATTAGTATTGTTGCCAGAAAGCATCTTTTCAAGTCAATCATAACTGATTTCATACACCGAAGGCCATCGAGGACATCAGCAGCTGAAACCGAAGAATCCCACTGCAAATGCCACTCCCCGCCATCGTTTTGAATCCTGTGACGTAACATTATATTAATTGCTCACCGTGCAAATAGTTCTTGAAATCATGGACAACAACAAGATTATATTTGTATAGTGCCTTTCACGTTGGGAGGACGTCCCAAGGAGCTGGACAGTGTACAGCATTTCAGACCCGAGCTGGGGTCAGAGAGGGGAGGGGAAGGGGGGTGGCCGATGGCATGGTTGAAGAGGAGGGTCTTGAGGTGGGACTTGAAGGAGGCTAAGGAAGGGGTGAGGCGGAGTGATTGGGAGATGGAATTCCAGAGGTTGGGGGCAGAGTGGCTGAAGGCTCTCCCGCCAACGGTGGATCAAAAATTATTTTTGAGTTGCTAGTCTACTCTCAGTGTGAATGCTTTAGATCCTGACTTTTAAGGCAATGGTCCTGGTAATCACATAAACCAAACTCAATTGATCCTATGCCTACTGTATCTACTGACTTTTATTTAAGCAACCAAAGCCAAAACAATACATTGTTGACCAGCACCTGAAGGGCATCAGTATCTCAAGGATCTTAGATGATGCAATTAACAGAGTAAAGCAGGAAGTTAAGTCACTGCAGAATTCACTTGATTAGAGAAGCCTGAACATAACCATTTCAAACAATGGGCAGGTAGACACACACACAAACTAAGCACAGATTCCATACAGTGTACACTTCAGTTAATAGACTATGGTAAATATCTATCAAGCCTGGACTGACGAGAGGAAATCTGACTGAGGTTGACTGACTATACCTGTTGCTGACAGGGTCTCGCTCAGTTTGCTGCCATCGATCGAACTTTGATCGAGGCCAAGAGGAGGAGTCAGCACAGACGAGGAACAATTGAGAGCAAAGAGATTTTTCTTGTGCCCTGAAACATGGCAGTCAGGGGTGAGGACCATGGAGCTTCTTGAAGTGCTCAGGCTCACATTCAGGGCCTGGGAGGTTTGAAGCTGCCTTTTAAAGTCAGGCCGACCTTTTCGAAATTTTGAAACACAAGATGGCGCCCGGGCTCCAGTCGTGGCTGCTAGGGAGTGATGTGAAAGCATGATTTTCTTTGTAGTGGGACCCACTGGAGCATCCAAATCTGGGCTGGTCACAGAGGGTGGCCTTCCTCTCTTGTGTCTGGTCATCAGCTCTAAAGTCGCACTCTCCCCATTCTCGGCACCGCTGGGCGGAAATTTATTGTGTTGAACAGAACTGTGACCTGTTTCTCTACATGAAGGTTTGACAGCCAAATCGTGGTCTTTTTCTGCAGTGACAAGTGAAGACCTGTTCTGTTCGGGAGATCCTATTCCTTGCAATATTCTCTGGTCCAAAGAGCTGCCAGGCTTCAATGTGGGAACCTCTGTACTCGAGCATTTCTTGTTGCCTTCACTGGATTGCTTGAATTTATTGACTTTTTCAGTTACATGTCCACCAGTATTAGATGCTGTCTCGATGTTATTCAGATTCATGGCTTTTAATGCACCTTCTCTGGCTCTTCCCCCACTCCAGTTTTTTTCCAGCTCATCGACTGCTTTCATCAGCTCATCCTCTAATACCAGAGAGAGGTCAGGAACCACACTAGGACTCCCACACAATAGCTGGATGACATCACCGGGAAGCTGAAAGAAAACATGATACGTTACTCAGTGTCTGCAAATCCCAATCCTCAGAATTCAGCCTTTTTGGAAGCCTGGACTCTTCTGAAATTGGCTGTGGCAACAAATCAACCTGCTGCGATGCAATGCAGTACGAGCAATGTGTTCTTTTATTTGCAATACTTTGCACTGCTGTAGAAAATGGTTCAGCCCAAGGAGGTCAAATTCTCCGCACGACCCCAATCTTTGTTTAACTCTCTGTAATCTCTGTCCTTCGGCACTGCTGCCTGAAATACTGGTGTAACTCATTACAACAGGACTGAAAGACAGAGAAGGTAAAGAAGGTAATCAATAATCCTTGCATTTGGTATAGCGCCTTATCACGTCTTCGAGACGTCTCAAAGCGCTTCACAGAATATACTGTAAAGGGAATTGACTGTATATTTTGTGGGCGAAACAATGGCCACTTTGGTCCAAAAACTGTGCCGGGGGGCACGGAGAAGAGAGAGGTGGAACGAGTATTCATTTCAAATCAATCAATAATTGGGATCAGCATGAATGCGATGGAAGTTGAGTTGAAAAGCATAACGATGCTGTGACCACTGTCTGCCACTTGAGGGCCCAAGATAATTCATGCTATTCATTCACAACTTCAACCTCAGAAATCTGCTGCAACAGCTAGAGAATACAGTAGTGAGTTGGAGGAAACTCAATACCACATCAGAATGGGAATCATCAATTCAATTTCTATTCTGTTCAGTGAAATATAAGAAGCCTTCAGCAATTACACTGCAAAACTTAACACTAGCATCCCACACTCAAAGAAAATGTATTTTCTCTACGACCCTATTATTCCCATCCTCGCCCAACTCCACTGGCTTCCCATCACACAGAGGATACAGTTCAAGATCCTGGTCCTCACCTTCAAAGCCCTCCATAGTCTTGCTCCCTCCTACCTCTGCGACCTCTTGCTCCCTCCTAACTCTGCGACCTCTTAACTTACCTTTGTGACAGTCTCAGTAGTTTAATTTTCTTTACCATCTGAACCTACCGGTGCAGGGTCTCGTTGCTGTAGGCGATTTGAGCGACGAGGGGTTAGTGGACAAGGGTCAGCAGGGCTGTATGTATATACAATCACATAGAAGGTCTGAATTAGCTTTTGCAATAAGCTGTTGAATGTAACATTGACTTAAGTAGATGCATACTATCAAACCAGAGAATTCCAATGCATCACACATCATTGTTCATTCATACCAAAATATAATACAATTCATATTCACGCCGGGAGTATGTCCCAAAGTGCTTGACAATCAAAGCACCGCTCAAAATAGGATCACAAGAGAGGTTTGGATAAAGATTTTGTCTATTTGATCTTATCCTGTTAATCCTATAGTACTCTACATCCTTTTTAACAGTATTAAGTTCAGTGTCCAAACAGTCCTGAATATCTTATAACAACAGCTAAAAAGGGTCCAGTCCAGCAATGCAGCCCAAAGTATTTCATAAGAAAATCTAATAATCAATCACAGATTCTTACCATCGTCTACTAATATCCACTCGATGTTGTCCTAGAAATCTCTGTCTACCCAGGATTCCTGGTTCAGTCTCTTTGCTGCCTGTTTCTGCAGATATGATCTGCAAACTCGGAGTTTGTCCAACGTGACGTTTTTGACGCCAAGTCTCAGAAAGCCTTTTCATTTTCTCCCTCACCCTTAAAAAAGTGCTAACACTGCATTTAGTACTGAAAATTTATAAATGAACCCTTTTTTAAAAAAATTATTTTTTTTTCAAGGCATTTTAACTAATTACATTTACAGAGGTCTGTTTTAATCAAACATTTCATGTTTATTTCTGCGCTCACTGTATTTTTAGCCTGGGAAGAAAAAAACCCACCTGCAAAACCTAGTCACTACACTTTACAGTACTAATCAAGCCCTTTAAGAGGCTTGTATCAAATGTAATGATAATAATCTTTGCATTTGATATAACTCCCGAGTCACATCTTCGAGACGTCTCAAAGCGCTTCACAGAATATACTGTAAATTGAGTTGATCTTATTAACTGTTTGTGGGCGAAACGCGGCAGCCAATGGTGCACAGCAGTGTCCCACAAACAGTCCTGGATTGAGTGACCGATTTATTATTGTTATTTTTTTAAACTTGAAGGAGTTATGACCCCGGGAAAAGCCATCCGCCAATCGACCAACAACCGGGTTCCTAATTACCGCCGGGGAAACAGAGGGTTCAACCTTATAGAGGTGCCTTACAATCAACTCCTATTTTATTCAAGCGACACGTTATATCTGTCCTTGTGCAAAAAAAAAAAATACACACGTTTTAAAGGGCTTTCACAGCCTCAGCTCCTCAGACACAATGTGAGGGGGAGGAGTGGGGGGGAGGGGGGAGTGGGGAGTGGGGGAGTGGGGGGGAGGCATTTCTGAGACGGTTCAAAGCCGCAGTGTATTACAGTTTGACCCTGAGCCTCAGCCCAAGGAACTGCCGGAGCCTCAGTTCTGACGGTCTCACTGTTGCTGTCGCTGCCCCTGAACCGCCATCGCGTCCGTTTCAAATCACCCGCCGCCGCCGCCAGCAACCGGAAACGGAAATGAGTCATCGCTGGTGTCGTCGTCGTCGTCGTCCCCCGGGTCCGCAGCCCCTCCACCTCACCCCCCGCCCCCCCTCCCCACGTGACCAGGTTGGGAGGGTTTTTAGTTGTGAAAAAAATGGCTTCGGGCCGGTACCTACTTTTATAATTATTCAATTTCAAACCTGCAAAACGTTATTTTTTCCCCTCTCCCCCCCAACCCCTCCCCCTCTCTCCCCCTCTCTCCCCCCCCCCCCACCACCACTCCTCCCTCTCCCCTCCCTCCTCCCCCCCCCCCCACCCTCCTCCTCCCCTCCTCCCCCTCCCCCCTCTCCCCTCCCTCCACTGACACGGTTTCTGGTTACTGGCGTCGGGGGGTGATTTGAAACGGATACGATGGTGACTCCAGGGCTGTAACAGTAACAGCACTCCTCCTCCTCCCTCTCCTCCTCCTCCTCCTCTCCCTCCCTCCTCTCTCTCCTCTCCTCCCTCCTCCTCTCTCCCCTCCTCCTCCTCTCTCCCCTCCTCCTCTCTCTCCCTCCTCCTCTCTCTCCCCTCCTCCTCTCTCTCCCCTCCTCCTCTCTCCCCTCCCTCCCTCTCCTCCTCTCTCTCCCTCCTCCTCCTCTCCTCTCCTCTCTCCTCTCCCTCCTCCTCTCCCTCTGCTCCTCTCTCTCCTCCCCTCCTCCCTCTCCCTCCCCTCCTCCTCTCTCTCCCTCTCCCCCCTCTCCCTCCCCTCCTCCTCTCTCTCCCTCTCCTCTCTCTCCCCTCCCTCTCCCTCCCCTCCTCTCTCCCCTCCTCCTCCTCTCTCCCCTCCCTCTCCTCTCCCTCCCCTCCTCCTCTCTCTCCCCTCCTCCTCTCTCTCCCCTCCCTCTCCTCTCCCTCCCTCTCCTCTCCCTCCCTTCCTCCTCTCTCTCCCCTCCTCCTCTCTCTCCCCTCCCTCTCCTCCTCCTCTCCCTCCTTTCCTCCTCTCTCGCCCCTCCTCCTCTCTCCCCTCCCTCTCCCTCCCCTCCTCCTCTCTCTCCTCTCTCTCCCCTCCCTCTCCTCCTCTCTCTCCTCTCCCTCCCTCCTCCTCTCGCTCCTCTCCCTCTCCTCCTCCCCCTCCCTCTCCCCTCCCTCTCCTCCTCTCTCTCCCCTCCCTCTCCTCTCCCTCCCTCCTCTCTCTCCTCCCCTCCCTCTCTCCTCCTCTCCCTCCCCTCCTCCTCTCTCCCCTCCTCTCTCCTCCCTCCCCTTCCCTCCTCTCCCTCCTCCTCCTCCTTCTCCTCCTCTCCCTCCTCCTCTCTCCCTCCCTCCTCCTCTCCTCCCTCTCCCTCCTCCTCCTCCTCCCTCCTCCCTCCTCCTCTCCCTCCCTCCTCCTCCTCTCCTCCTCCCCCTCCCTCTCCCTCTCTCCTCCTCCCCTCCCCTCCCTCCCCTCCTCTCTCTCCCTTCCCTCCTCTCCCTCTCCTCTCCCTCTTCTCCTCTCCCTCTCCTCTCTCTCCCCTCCCTCTCCCTCCTCCCTCTCCCTCCCTTGAAATGCAAGGATTACTATTTCCCCACAGTAGGCAATGCCTAATATTCGGCCAGTTTGGGCCAGTGTTTGGTTGACTGGGCTACAAACACATTTTAATGTCTGGCCACCGTGCAGCAGCTCTCACTGTCCTCATTCCCCCACCACTACCATCTCTATCGGACTGTGGCCCCCGTCTGCTTCCCCTCCTATCAGCTCTGGCCTTTCCTGTCACAAGGAGCAATTTTTGGGGGTTTAACTCTTGCTGCCTGTGGGGAGACGATCCCCAATCTCTTGAATGCCCAGGGAAGTCATTCTCGGTTCTCTTCACGAGATCAGCAGTCTGTTCCAGCCGATCAGCCCCTACCATCCCTCGTTACAGCATCGAGTTGCTCTTTAAATGAGTCCTGATGTCCTGGTCTCTCACCACTTTTCCTGCAACCAGTTCTAGTCTTCATCATCTTTTCATCACCTCTGCTTTCAGATGAGACAGGGCACAGAGGGCACAGGTTGAGGGATAGAGCAGCAAAGGGCAATCAGGACAGACGCCGGGAAGTTTTTTTCTTTAAACAGAGGGTAGTTGAGAGCTGGAACCTGTTCCGGGAAGGTGTGGTTCAAGCCAGGGTGCTGGAATCATTCAAGGATGCCAATGCTATGATGAGAAGGCTGTCGGGTGGGTATTCTGGAAGAATGAGATTAAATGGGCCGAAGGGCCTTCTTCATCGTAACCTCACTTGTGATCTCCAGTCTATTGTCGCTCTCATTGGAAACTGTTTCCAGCAATCCTACTGCCCTTCATAAAACTAACCTCAGTTCTATTACGCCCTGTGTCCTGGCCAACAATCTATCAACTAAATTATTTTATTCCCTTCATTGGTTGTTTGTGGGGCCTACTGAGCTGCATTTACCTGTAAATACGCTGCACATGATCATAATGATCTCAAGCATATTTCAATGTTATGTTTATATAGTGTTACAAATTTTAATTATTTATTATTATACATAAATTATGCGTATTTATATTATTGAATGTTAAAATATCAACATGATTAAAAATCCAAGTACTTTGGTCTGTAGTGATAAATAATGTGCCCATCTCTAGGAATGGCCATGTTTATTTTGAAACAGAAAAGAGCGAAGGAACAAGCTGCCCAACAGGGAATTTGATTACACAACAAATTACTGAAGCTGAGACTCGAAACACAATAGATGCAAGGTTTAGAAAGAATTTTATTGGCAACATGTTTTGACGTATGATGATTTTGCAAACAGTTAAAAAAAACACAGTTCAATATAAACAGTTATACTGAAACATCATAGTTATGGCTGCGTAATGTAAGAGATTGCTAACACTAGCAAACATTGCATTATATCCGATTATAAAGATGTAAAAAAAGCTCCTAATGTGGATCAATTGGTGTGTGTTGGATCTTATAATCACCTTCATCTTTCTGAGATGCTATTTATACTTTCTCGAGTTTTTTTTTTACATAAAATATTTGTAGAAGATCAATTTTTATCTGAGATCCATGTCAATTTGTCACACTTCTCTTCACTGGTTACTTTGACAATATATTGTACGGACCATATGTTCATTCAAAATTGCTTTATTCTGACATCCTTTAAAAGCCCTTTTATAATAAAAAGATCATCACTATGATTGAATGAAATTTCATCATTGCAGGATTGTTAGTGGAGGGCTTGGACTAGCAAAGCTAGTAATGGTAAATTTTTATCCTTTCGCATCCTCTATTACAACACCATACCAAGGAGTTAGCATTCATGGTCTGCAAGGAGGAAGGATTGGATTTCAGCACACTGAAGTCCCAGATTTTTAAACCAAAACTTAATGACTTAAAAGTTACACTTAAACAAGGCAGCAGTTGGTGAATGAAAAAATACTTTCTCTCGCCAGGGTACAATTCCACAGACACCAGCAGCCTTTGGTACCTTGACCAATGTGTTTTATCCATTCTGACTTGGTGTATGTAAAAGATTCCAATGCACCTCGACAACTGATCACAAGAACTACTGGTAAGAGGCTAACATGTTTCAAGCCACAATGTAATCAGCCCCCTCTCAGGTACCTTGTCTTCTGTTACAAAATACATAAAACAGGAAGCTTTTAGGTTAATGAAGTTACGTGATTTGCATACTACATACTCACCATGTATGGGTTATTCAATTTGTAATGGCATTGTATGAAATACCAACAAACTGGAGTAAACTATTTCATATAGTTAAACTGGAGAGTCTTGATATTTTTTTTCTCTTAAGTGTTTCAACCAAGGTGTTTTTCTCTTGTTTTTGCCCCTCAGTCATGCACATACTGGTCAGAGGGACAGGCGTTGACCTACATTCAGTCATGTAGTACAAACAGGATTTCAGATGCTCTCCCATGCTGGGGATGTCAGCAAACCTCCAGTGGTCTATGGTTGAGAAGACAGAGCTAAACTGCCACCTCTGTAATAAAAAGGAATATGGTCACACACTAATTCATATAGAATCATAGAATCTTACAGCACAGAAGGAGGCCATTCAGCCCACAGTGCCTGTTTGAAAGAGCTAGTTACCAACTAGTCCCACTCCCCCGCTCTTACCCCATAGCCCTGCAAATTTTTAAAATTAATTCAGAGTGCCACTTGGCTTCTGACATAAGAATAATATTTGCCATAATAATAATGAAGAAAAACCCTTTCATTCCAACACAACTACTGTTGTTTAATCACTTAGCAGCATAAACACATCGAAGTTGAGCATCTATGCATATAAATCCACCATCCTCCCTCCAGGAACCTACTACCCCACTCACTCAGTGAAGAATCTCCTTCTGAGAGAAATCTTTTTTAAAAAAGAAATTCAAGCATTAATGAGAAATCACTATGGGCATTCTATTGAAGAGCGTTAACATTTGTGAAGTATGTTCAAGGTTGCAGTCTATTTTTATTTCCCCCCCTCCTCTGCACCCTTGAATTCTTTCCCTTCCATGGGCCTTTACCAATTGAGAAGATTGAATGGAAGACCTACTACTCTATAAGGCTTTGCAGCTAGGTTGGCAGGAGACTTAAGCACTCCAAAACAATGTCCGATGTGAAGGGTGCTATGTAAATGCAAGTTGTTGTTGTTGATTCTGAAGGGCAGCCAATGCATGACCAGTTCTCGGATCTTTGTTCCTATTGTATGAGCAAACAGTTTGCAACTGTTTATACAGATATACAGTCAATTCACTTTACAGTATATTCTGTGAAGCGCTTTGGGACATCTAGAAGACGTGAAAAGCGCTATATCAAATGCAAGGATTATTATTATTATAACTTGCAAAATGGCACAACTGTGCATTTAAATATAGGCAATTTTCACTACATTATCTTTTTTTTTTTAAATCTAGCGGGCTCCCTATGGTACCTTACCAGCTAGGCCATTATTCTTGTGTGGAGTCTTGACACAAAATATTTTGGGATTTCAATCATGGATATTTTTAATTGCTGAATGTACTGGTATATTAGATTAGTGGGCAAATATAATACAGCAATTATGTTCGCAGTCAAAGGCAAGGAATTCCTTTTTGGTCCAGTGAGTAAAGATACATGTGCCTCTAGACAGAGACTCTTCCTGGAATGTATGTATATATGTATGTATATACATACATTCCAGGATGTATGTATATGTGCGTAGGGGAGGGTGGTGTTGGGAGAGGGGTAGTGAGGAGATGATTAAGCTTGGTTGTAATTCCCTTACCCACTCCCCAAAAGTCTAATGCACCAGCACATACAACAAAACAAAGTAATGACATAACTCCTCGATAATAAAGAGACTATATGATACACGTTCTTTATTATGGCATTGCACCACTCTATGATAGGCACATGCTTCACAAAATTGATTGTTTTAACGTTTCATGTCACTTTGATATGAGTGAAAGGACTGAGGTGTCGCATATGACCAACACATTGAATGCCAAGACAGCACTTGACTGAGGTGTTGCATATGACCCACAGACTGAATGCCAAGAGTTCCTATGCACAGATTCAGCAAAGGGACAATCAGGGGTAGTTATTTTTAAATGTGGTGACAGATTCAAAAGGGCTAAGTGAAGGTCAAAACATAAATAGTGTTGTTACGGAAGATGAATAAAACTGAGTGTTCATCGGTTTGGCATTTAACCCTTTGATTACCAGGAGATAAGTACAGTTGACTGGAGCAGAGAATTGGCAAATGGAATTTAATGTGGAAAATGTGAGGTTTTGAGAGGAGAACAAGTATATGTTGCATGGTCAAATATTAAAAGGAATGAAGAGGAAAAATGGGTTAATGTACATATATCCTCTTATCAAACTCAGCTACAATAACAATGATAAACATCGGACAAGACACTGAGATTTATGTAGTTTTCCCAAAAGCCCTCAAGCTGTAATAAACTAAAGAAATGTACTTGCCCTTTTTCGAGCTCTCCAAGAAAAGCTCCCTGCTGAGTAACTCTTCTTTTCCCAAACGAGAGAGACCATGCCACGCTGTGACAGTAGAGTTGTGCAGACATCATTCATCAGCACAGATACCTGGGAGAACTGGGAGAGGCTATAGCTATCTAGGAAGCACGCAATGTGCCTCACTATCTCAGATGGAAGGCTACTTAAGGCATCCATTTTCTTGCTTCTTTTTGAAACATTGAGTTTTTCTTCACAGCTGCGATGCAGAACTGGAGAGATGTACGGTCTGATGGCAAATGTGCTCTGGTCATGGTTGTACACCACTTTTGCTTTCGGCCTGGAGGGGCAGAATCTCTGCTGTGAGTAGGGACAGCCAAGATAAGCCAGAGGACATCTCTGTTCCATCCATCCGTTCAGACTGGACTGAATGTCGGTGTGCACATTCTTGAAATGAGATGAAAATTCATCCCGCCTGAAAAATTGCTGGCATGTAAATTTGAAAGTAGAACTCAATCTGTTATATCTCCGTGTTATACACTCTGTCTGTAGTTCCAGATGCAGAGATGAACTTCTTTCTGCTGCTACGTCAGCTAAAACCACATCCTGCCTGAAGGGAGCAGAGGGGAAAGAGTAAGCTTGGGTCCCAATGTCAACAAAGCATCCATCAGTGGCCTTTGTTTCTGATATTATATGGCCTTTTAACATTCCTTCTAAAGAACAAAGCATCGAAACACTAACTTCATCATTTTGTTGCATTTCTGTTTCCAAGTCAGAAGTATCCACAGCTTTGTTCTCCACTTTGCGCTTCATTACACCTAACATCTGATTACGCTTGGTATGATAGCTGATGGGAACCTTGAAAGTATTGACGGTTCTAACAATCTGGGGCTCCAGATTCCCGTACACAAAATCTTTTTCTTTTGGTGTGCACGCACTCATTTGCCCAAATCGGATCAGCATGCGACCATGATGTAACAAGTACATAGTGAAGCTTCTGCTATCCAGCTGACTGCTTAGCCTGTCCAGAACTCCTTCGTTCCAAGGCGCACCACCTTTTCTTTCAGCTTTCACAAGCGAAGGAAGGTCCGGTGAATTGCTTTTATTTTCACACCGTTCCTTCTTATTATCAGTACTACTTGATGGTTGCTTAGTTTTAACCTTCAAAGAATTAGCTTCAGTAATTTTACAACTTCTTTTTTCTTTGCTGAAAATCTTCTCCCAAACATCGTACCTATTTAAATCATTGCAAACAACACTCTTGTCCTTCGCAAGAGCTTTGCGTTCTTCATCAGTGAGATCCACTACCTCTTCCTTATCTTCATCGGATTCCTGTGTTCCTGTTTCAAGTAGATGGGGGTCCAGTGCTGAAGCCCCTGACTGGCCCCCCACAGCCCCAACTTCACTCAAATCTAAGTCATTCTCTTCATCTCTCTCCGTCATCTCTGGGAAGAGTTCAGCCATCTTTATCGAGTTAAAGAGTATCCTTTGATCCCTCATGGCCATGGCTGTGGCTAAATTCTCTAAATTTGTTGGCTCTTTAAGGATGTTCTTTTGTAGAGTTTTGTGACTTTCACTGACCGGCCATCGATTCCATTCCATGGAGCACGCCACAACACTGGCGGGACAAATGTGTAGGTGTTTACCGAGTTTGGAGCGGGCCATGAAGAAAGGGCAGCCATAGGCTGAGTTCAGACATGGGACATGTTCCCGCGGACACAGCAGCTTGTGTTCTTCCTCCTTACAGAGGTGAAATGTGGCACCACATTTGGAGGAACAATCAACAACCAAACAAGAAACGGCATGCTCAAAGGACTTCCTGCAGTAACGATTGAAACACGTTTCACAGTGCCTGTGCGAAGTATGGTTCAAATTCCTATTTATGCTCTGATGGAATAAGAAGACATTTATTATAATAATCCTGGCATTTGTTGTAGCGCCTCATCATGTCTTCGAGACGTCTCAAAGTGCTTTGCAGGATATGCCTTAAAATGTAATGATTGTGTGTTTTGTGGGCATTTCTTTAGTAACAGGTTAATTCCTCCTTTTTTGTTGTTGAAATAAGCATGCGTGAGTGTTAGATTTGTATGACCTTCATCTTGTTTAAACTCTTCAAATTCTCTCCATTCAGTGAGGCACTATTTGGAAGTGAAGAGTGTAACAGGCATGTGTAAAATCACAAGAGAAGTAGCGACAAAGAAGATCCTTCATTCCATTTGATTTTAAACCTTCCAGATAAAATAGCCACCGAATATCTTACCATTGTAGAATCAACCTGTTTCTTATATGAATCTATTGTCCTGCCTCTGCCACTCTCCTCTTAGCCCATTCCAACCATCATTTACCCTCTGTGTAAATAAATATGTCCTGCCATCTGTCTTGAAATTGCCCTTCACACTTCTGACTTTGTGCCCTTGCCCTGCTGCCTTGGAGTATCTGAAAGTATTGATTTGGGTTTAACTTCTCAATCCCACTTACCATCATATGTACCTCAATAAGATTTCCTCCGAGGCATCTCATTTTAAGGCAAAAGAGCTTTTGTGAAAATGTTGCGAGGAAAGGGGTTACATTACTGTTAATCTTGTTTACTATTGGTTTTAAGTCAAGATCATATTCTTACCATTTTGATGATCCTCTTCTCAGCTGGAAGGAAAAGAAACAATATTGCTTTAGATATAAAGTCACAAATTTTAAAGTGCAACAAAGGCTGCCAACAAAACAGTCATTGTTGACGTTCTTTAAACCAAGCCACCAGAGATAAGATGGGTGTAGGGTGGTCAATTTTAAAAGCTGAGTCAAGTTGGGAACAGCATTGGGATTAAGATATTGGAATCCTTGTGACATCAGGTTCAAAGATACCATGGGCCAGCAGTTACCAATGCAACCATTTGAACGAAATGGATGTTGACCAACTGAAAGACCTATGTTATCATACGTGGAGTGCTGTAGTGTGGTAGTTAGCACACTCAACTCGCAAGAGAGAGAACCTGGTTCAATTCCCAGCCGGAGCAAAACCTTCTGCAAGATTTCCCTACTCCACAGGGCTCTGTTTATCCAGCAGCAAGTAGGAAACGGTTGTTAGTCGATTCAATCCACAACTGTTTGTGGGATACTCCTGTGTGCAATTGGCTGTCGCGTTTTGCCCACAAAATACACAGTCACTCCAGTTTACAGTATATCCTGTGAAGCGCTTTGAAACGTCTCAACGATGTGATAAGGCGCTACAGCAAGTGCAAGGATTATTATTATGATGATGATATATCACATACCACATTTTTCACCCTGCATTGCAACAATAAAGATAAATACATTTGCAAACAGATTCGACAACCTATTTTGCTGGTACTGACCATTCCATATTATAGTTCAAAACTGAAAATGACCAGCAGTTGCGAAACTAAAAATATGAATGAATTAGTAGCCCTGCAAGGCGCTTCTTGTCTACCTGAGGTTCAAGCTATCCCATTGAGGCTTTGGCTCATAGGGTTGAGTGCACCTCCTTGGATCCAGTTCAGGCCCAGGAAGACCCTAAAAGGTGTTACTAAAAATCTTTTTAATGGTAATGCTTTTTTTTTCCTAACACCGACCTTTAAATGCAGATATTCCTAATTAATGCATGCATTATTTTCATTGGCCCATTACATATCTGTGTATATATAATATATATACAATATATATATATGTTCCTCTTTGCAGAAGTCTGGAGAGAATACAGGAGGCTGCAAGAAACTGGTGAAACATACTTCACTAAAAAAAACACACACACATACACTAAAGCAGCCTTACAAGTCAGGTCACCTTGTCAGAGGTCTCAAGTTGATGGAAGAGATTCAGGGAGAAAAAAAAGTTAAATCATTGTTCCCCGAGTGCACGGAATTATCCTCGTGATCCAACTTTCAACCAAATAAAAACGAGTGGTAATCTCACCCCCACCCCCCCCCACACACACACCAGCGAAACCACTCTCGCTCGTTCCCTTATTGAGGCTTTTTCCCTGATCACAAGCTCTGGCTCTCTCTCTCTCTGAGCAAGAACTGAGATTTAAAATAAATCTGCAAATAAAGCCGATCTTTTTACCTTTAAAGCCGTGGGAGGCGACGCAATGCACGGACCGATTCTGCCTCGATAGATACTTTGCAGCGATCTCACGTTTAGCTGCTGGTGGTGCTGCTGCTGCTGGAGCTGCTGCTGCTGGTGGTGGTGCTGCTGCTGGTGGTGGTGGTGCTGCTGCTGCTGGTGGTGCTGCTGCTGGAGGTGGTGGTGCTGCTGGTGGTAGTGGTGCTGCTGCTGGAGCTGCTGCTGCTGGTGGTGCTGCTGCTGGTGGTAGTGGTGCTGCTGGTGGTAGTGGTGCTGCTGCTGGTGGTGGTGCTGCTGCTGGAGGTGGTGCTGCTGCTGGTGGTAGTGGTGCTGCTGGTGGTAGTGGTGCTGCTGCTGGTGGTGGTGCTGCTGCTGGTGGTGGTGCTGCTGCTGGTGGTGGTGGTGCTGCTGGTGGTAGTGGTGCTGCTGCTGGAGCTGCTGCTGCTGGTGGTAGTGGTGCTGCTGCTGGTGGTGCTGCTGCTGGTGGTGGTAGTGGTGCTGCTGCTGGAGCTGCTGGTGGTAGTGGTGCTGCTGCTGGTGGTGCTGCTGCTGGAGCTGCTGGTGGTAGTGATGCTGCTGCTGGAGCTGCTGGTGGTAGTGGTGCTGCTGCTGGTGGTGCTGCTGCTGGAGGAGGTGGTGGTTTGGACCCTTTAAACGGTGCAGCTTTTCCCGGAGTTCACTGTGCTGCTGGTGAGCTTTCCTCTGTGCCCTACCGGCAGCTGAGCTGAGCAGCACAGACAGACCCCCCCCACACCCCGGAGTGGCCCGGAGACGGCGTTTATATTTAGGTCCATGTGTTTAGCATTAAAAGATAAACAGAACTGGAGCCTCGGGAATGGGGTAAAGCGATACTGTGGGTCATCGCCAAAGCAGGAAACCATTTGCTGCCCTCAAAACACTGTCACGTCTTACACTGTGGCGTTCCCCCCCTGGGATGCCTGGTTTGGTTACTTAAAAACAACTGGTGACCACCCTCCTCCACCCCCCCCACCCCACCCCAGGCTGGTCCCCCGCCCCCACCCCAGGCTGGTCCCCCGCCCCCACCCAGGCTGGTCCCCCGCCCCCACCCCAGGCTGGTCCCCCGCCCCCACCCCAGGCTGGTCCCCCGCCCCACCCCAGGCTGGTCCCCTGCCCCACCCCAGGCTGGTCCCCCGCCCCACCCCAGGCTGGTCCCCGCCCCACCCCAGGCTGGTCCCCCGCCCCCACCCCAGGCTGGTCCCCCGCCCCCACCCCAGGCTGGTCCCCCGCCCCCACCCCAGGCTGGTCCCCCGCCCCCACCCCAGGCTGGTCCCCCGCCCCCACCCCAGGCTGGTCCCCCGCCCCCACCCCAGGCTGGTCCCCCGCCCCCACCCCAGGCTGGTCCCCCGCCCCACCCCAGGCTGGTCCCCCGCCCCACCCCAGGCTGGTCCCCCGCCCCCACCCCAGGCTGGTCCCCCGCCCCACCCCAGGCTGGTCCCCCGCCCCCACCCAGGCTGGTCCCCCGCCCCACCCCAGGCTGGTCCCCCGCCCCACCCCAGGCTGGTCCCCCGCCCCACCCCAGGCTGGTCCCCTGCCCCACCCCAGGGTGGTCCACCCTCCTTAGATGTGAACTGGCTTCAAGGTGACGATCTAGCCAACAACATTACAGAGTCCAGTCAACGGCAGTCTTGGTGGTCTATCAAATGCAAGGATTATTATTATTATTATTGCTGTAGTACTCCAGGGCACCTCTGTGGACAGACAGTCGGCTTGGCTCCTGGATAGGGCCTGGCGGGTCAGACCAATCGCTGGGATTCTTCCCATTCATTCTGTCCGTGTTAACCCGTAAACCGAAGCCCTGATGGGTAGAAGGGTTCCAGGTGAAGAAGCTGTGGGAAGCGAGCCAGGCTGTGCACTCAAGAGCAAGCTGTGTGGTTTTAGCTGCTTAAGCTCCAGCCGTCAGCCCCCCACCCCACACACACACACAACGACCTGCGTTTATATAGCACCTTTCAAGTGGGTAGCATCTCAGAACGCTCACCCTCTGGTCTGGACTCTTGCCAACCTATATGCCTAGGTCTCCAGAATTAGGTAAGCAGGTTGCTTCCCTGAGGTTTGAAATATCCTTAATCATGATGATGTGTTTCTGCCTGCGTCAGACTGACTGGCTGACCAAAAAATATTATCTGAACACATGGAATGTGGAACCTATCCCACTCTTGACAGAAGGCCAAGGCAAACAGCTCCAGTCGTTTGGACTTACTTGGTCCTTCGGATCGCGTGAATTACGTATTCATTAAAATCTGCAGTGAAGCGCCAAGTAATCTCCATCTAGAGGTTTACTGTACTTTCCAGATCAGCTCCATCTTGAGGAACATATTAGATATTCTAGGTAAGGAAAGAGTTATTTATGTTGGCTTTTTCAGGAACATTAGTCAATGTTTTCCTTTATCTTCCCATGCAATTTAGCGCTCCCTGGCTTTGATGAGTTTCTACAAATGCAGCAGTTCCTACAGCTAGGATAAGGAGTCAGTTTGACTACACACAGGACAAGTGCTTATTTTCAGAGATTCTGTCAGGGCAGCCACTTCTCTGAGAACAAAACAATTTCCTGGGGAATTTGTACTGGAAAATCATTTTGAACTTCCTGAAAACTAGCAAGGTATATGGACATGTTGGTGTCAGTTAACGAGGATTACATACTCAGAAATAACTGATGTGACTTCACTTTCCATTACTCCTCCTAGTAGGCAAGTATCCAAGTCAGTTCTGCCCAGATATCCCTGCTGACATTGATGGCATAAACCTACACATTGCATCAAGTTACACTGATTACCAACATTAACTGGAAATCTGCTTTCGGGAAATTATACAAAAAGCAAGTCTTTGGCTGGTGTTTGTGATGCTCCTATAGAAGGAAAATACAACCTGGGTAAGATTAAAAAAATCCTCGTGAGCATTTTCTCTCCACTTGTGGCCCTATCTTTTAGGTTTTTCACATTTAGCAGGTTGCTAGGCTTACTTTAACTATGTGACCAGTCAGCAAGTATTCATTAGTATTCATTCACAGCTTGACATTTGTTGTGTACTGCAAAGCACCCAAACACTGCTGCGGCCTTCGCTGGTATTGACGTAGTGGGTAATGAAGTATCTTGGCATAAACGCTTGCAATCTCAACAAAAAATATTGCAATGACACAATTGCTCTCATTGATGAACTTCCTCGCCAATATCAGGCAAAAATTAATCATGGAAGTTTTTGTTTAGGACTTTTAAATTTTTTTAAATGTTAGGCTGGGGAGAAGGGCATGTTCTAAGTTACTTGTCCTGCAATTAGGGAACTATAAGTAAAATAGGTGTCTATTTCCTTACCATAACACTACAAATGAGTGATTTGGGGCACAAATTATGTTTTCACTGTGCCATGTTTTGTTTTCTCTCCAACCCCAGCCTGATTGCCCAACATTGATTGCATTAGAACATGTATTACTGAGAATATGCAGCTAGCTGCTATTTTGGTCACTGCTTCTGTAGTTTAAGTTTTACCTTTTGTTATCTTCAGGTGAGAAGTAAAAGGGAATTTAATTGAACTAGCAAATTCCTGAGGACAGACAAGAAACACAACTGTTCCTGTATAATCATGGTTAGTCATAAACTAAGACGTTTTTTTAAAAAAAAGACAGCTTTGCAATGGAACTGGACTTGGACATATATTTTGTGGTGGATGAGATTAAAATGGTTGATCTTGAATACTCTTCGACCGTTCTTCCTTAACTTACGGATACAAGTTGTTGTATTTTACCTGCCTATTGAATTCCAAACTTCCAGATTGAATCCATCATCTCCAAGACACAATGCAATCTGAATGGGAGCCTACAACCCAATAATAATCTAATTCAGTCGGGAATCCCAAGACTCTGGAATATTCAAAAATAAAAGTTCTTTAAAAAAGTGACTCCCTCATGACAGCATAGCTTGATGTTTCCTGCAAAGAAGCTAGAACATTAACCCATGCTACACTTTAAATCGAAGAGCAAAGACTTCAAACAACTCACGTTGTTTTCCCTACCTTTACTGCATTGTTTCTTCTTGAGATTGCCAACGTAATCCCACTACTGAATACCAAAGGCATAACTACAGAAAGACATTAGATAAAGGAAAAACAGACACTATTCATTTCTATCAGTTACAAAGGTTCTCACCAAAATTTCATTTAAAAGGTCTAGCGATATAAATGTCAAGTAATTTCCATTATAAGTGCGATGCACAATAAAATATAAGTCAGCATGACAATCTAATGGTTTATAACATTATAAAGTGGTAACAAATAGGTTTCTTACTGGCAAAGTTTAGCAATAGTATATATATTTGCCAAGAACAACTCACCCATAATGCTTCAGATGTGATCAGCTCAAAGAATGCACAGTGCTATGTGCTTTATTTAGCTTTGCTTCTACTGTATTTTTTTAAAAACTACATGCAATGCAAAATATTTATTGTAACAAACATGTATACAGGAAGACAGAATGGACATACAAAATTAACTACTTTTCTAGAGATTGCACAAATTCGCTTTTCTCTCGGTACAACTCGATTACGGAACGAAGATTGGTCAAGATGTCTTCCTTCAACAGCTCTTCACAATCTCGAGAATTTCTTTTTTCATAATCCAGAAGAAAGTTCTAAACAAAAAAAGTTAATTATAATAATACTTGCATTTGATAACAGTGCCTTATATCGAGAAGTCTCAAACCGCTTCACAGGATATACCGTAAAGTGAATTAACTGTATATTGTGGTGGGAATGCTGTAGCCAATTGCGTGCAGCAGTGTCCCATAAACACAGTCTTGGACTGACTGACTTTTTTAAAAAAAGGGATTATTACTCACGGAAAAACGATTTGCCAATCGACTAACAACTGGGTTCCTACTTACTGCTAACAAAGTCATAATCCCAATGAAAAGTTTCCATCTACATGTTTACCATTGATTTGCTAAAGTGGAGTAAACTGGAAGGAAATTGTACAGCAGAAAGCCAATTGAATCTATCAGACTTCAATTTCAAGTGGGGACATATTATTTCCCCAACATTTTCTATATGAATTTTTAAAAAAAATTTTGTTGTCTTGTACACTGTCTTGGTGGTTCTTTATATAACAGCTTATAAAAATATAGCAATGAAAGAATAAAAGATTAATCAGTCATATTTCCTCCTCACTGATCAATTTCTGTTTGTTTGACTTTGCCATGCACCCTCATAGGCACAATCTCATTAAACCTACAGTTAAAGTCTGTCCAAATGATCAATTTTACACTTTACAAGTTGTTGTAAGTTGCAATACCTCAATACTGGTGATGTGCTGAGCTGCACTGTCCAAGCACAACCGAAAGTTGCTAGTCATTCTTGTCTTTTCTTCGTTTGTTTTCTGCTGGACTATTTCAAACCTGGAAATAAAAAAAATAATTATCAATGCAGCAAATGTTTTCTAGAAGCATGAGTCTTCTCAGGTTTTTCAATTAGCAGTCCATTTTTCTCCAAAATGCAGCAGTGAACCAAAGAAAGTTTTTAGTTTGAAAAGAAAATCTCTATATAGCATTCAGTATTTGTTAAAACACTTCCATTTTTTTTTTCTTTCTCTTCGTTAGTGTCTGGACATAGGGTATTGCACAGGCAAAGTGAATAATAATAATCCTTGCATTTGATATAGTTCCTTATCAAGTCGTCGAGACATCTCAAAGCGCTTCACAGAATATACGCGGCAGCCAATTGCACATAACAGTATCTGACAAACATTTGTGGATTGAATGACAATTTGTTTTATTATTACTACTTTTTTTGAAGGAATTATTACCCCCAGAAAAGCGATCCACCAATCGACTAACAACTGGGTTCCTACTTATTGCTTAGCTAAACAGAGGGTGTGTACTAAGGAAACCTGCCCAATGTTTCGCCCCGCTCGGGAATTGAACCCGGGTCCTCTCACTTACAAGGTGAGTGCTCTAACCAATAATGCATTTGCTGAACCAGAGCAAGAACCTAAAAGTTGTACTCCCTCCTGGTTTACTATTTCAGGTGTAGATACTCATAGCTTTGCTATGTTCACCTTTTAAAGATAGCAAGTTGAACGTGACCATGAAAAGACTCCAAGTTAGATTTCAAACAGGAGGTATACTCACATATGCCGAGCTGCCTTTCGCTGCTCCAATGCATCATCAAGCCCTTCAGTCATTCCCTTCTGCAAATATTTTCTCTTGTTTTCTAGAGAGTCAAGCTCACCATCTTGCATTGCTATTTTGCGTTCATCCTCCTAAAAAATAAATTAGTTATAGTAGTTTGAAATAGCATCACAATCAAACCTTAGTGAAGTGTGCTGTAAATAATGCTCACTCATTAATCGTCCCAACCAATTTTGAGAGACTTCGAACCACAGACTACTAAAATCTTATTTTAAAACATTCCACTCATTCCGTTAAGTTATTCCCTTAAACTTTTCTCAAAAGGCACAATACTGGCAATATTTTTCAAAACATTGGGTAGAAACAGGAATAAATTAAATGCTACATTAAAACTGAAAGTGTACCCGGCACTTTATCACCCTCAATGAAAGTAAAATTTGTTTTCTGTTGCAGATCTACCCAGCTGTGTGCAATTGGCTGCTGATTTTCTCCCACAAAATATAGTTAATTCACTTTACAGTATAGTCTGTGAAGCACTTTAAGGCGGTCTTGAAAATGTGGTAAGGCGCTATACCAAATACAAGGATTATTATTATTATTTTCTTACCTCTTTTTCCTGTTGCATTGCTTCATCCACTTTTCGGATTTGCTCATTCAACAATTTCAGGTCATTTGCCCTTTCAGCAATCATGGATTGAACCTGGGAGAGGAAACAATTGTCACAAGTTGTTAGATACAGTAATATGTTTTCACACTATTATATACACTAGTACCTAATGCACTATAATGCAAAATGTAAGAACCTTGATGCACATATGAGAGAGATATGGGAGAGGGTACTAGGAGAGGTTGAGACTCAGATGAAGTATAAATATAACACAAAGTAGATGGGTCAAAGGGTCATTTTCCATGCTGCAACCTTCTATACAATTCTAGATAAGCCATGTATTTCACATCAATTCACTTTTCTTTTAAGTCAACTTCCAAATTGGATAGTTCTTGTACCTGTTCAATGCCTTCTTCCACATTCATCTTCTTGTTCTTCATTTTATTAATTTCTTCATTCACCTGCCTCACCAGCAGCATCAGGTTCGGCTGTTTAAAAGACACAAGGTCAAAAATAGTTCACAGAAAAATAAAAAGCATTAGTTGCTTAATCTCCTACTGCAGATAGTAATCTATTGAGTGGTGGCCAACTATCTCTTTTATACTTAGTCTTCACTACACTTTGCAACCCAGGCCAAAATTCAGTGACTGACTATTTGCACAAAAAATAATTTAAACGTTTGTCACTGTAACCAGCCATGCCTGATACACGTGTGCAACATGTTTTCATGCCAAATCCAAATTATTTGTCACTAAAAAGGGACATGCTACTCCAACTCACTGAACCATAGCACTCTCAATGTAACAGAGTCTCACTTTCTGCAAAACAAAGAGATAGATCATTTAAACAAGTAATTTCCAGTATTTAATTGATGGGCTGTTCAAAGATAAATGGAGCTGTGCTCTGCAGTGGGTACCAATTTAGCCCAAATTGCAAAGAGCACCACCTAGTGCACCAAAGTGCCTTTTGCTGTAACAATGGTATCGTCTGGTCTTGCCATCAGGCTTTATTCCTGTCTCTGCTGAGATAGCCAACCCAACTGGGATGAATGCTGTAAATGGCCTTATCAACCCCGTGTAAGGGAGGGAACTTTCAGTCAGGATTTAGCCTCCTGATCAGTAACCACTAATGGAAAGTGTCCATATGTGGAAGTCAGGTGGGAACAGAACACGGCTTAGCTGTGATGCCCCTCTCCCTGACAACACTCACTGGATAGGTTTACACATTAAGAACTGGTACTTGGGAAGATACCATGGGACTTCCAGCACCCTGTGAATCTATGCCACTAACAGGGCATTGAGAAGGGGAGAAAATTGGCAACAACAACAAATTACACTATATTACAGGAACCATAATATACATCCCAATTATGCATCATAATTTTCTCAACTACATCCTATGAAATATTTTGGGAATTTTTTAAAAATAATAAAAAGTTTGAAGAAAATTTTTATTTTTATTATTACTTTAATTGGTTTAGCATTTTGCGATATATTCCGCTGGCCAGCATCAAAATCCAATCTTATCTCGAAGTCGTGTCCTCCAGCATTTTCAGCCGTCGTAGGAATTAGTTTCAGTTTCCGAGCCAGTGTGTGGTACTTCAACAGGCCTGCTTCCAACTAAAATAAAGCAATGATGGGAAATGTGGTACAGAGCTGTTATAGTCTCTATATTATCAGCCCCAACAATTCAGCAATACATAGCATACTGTACAAGTCTGATGTATTAATAATTATACTTCCATTTGCCTTATCATGTCTTCACGACGTCTCAAAGCACTTCACAGAATATACTGTAAAGTGAATTGACTATATTTTGTGGGCGAACCATGGCAGCCAATTGCACGCAGCAGTGTCCCACAAACAGTCATGGATTGAGTGACCATTTTTTTTAAGAGAAATTATTACAATCAAATTAGAAAATTTTTAGGCGATGCAATTCTTCTTGCAAGTTGGCTTGCTTTCTGGGAATGATTTTACAGTAGGAAGAGTACATTAACAAGTGAACTACTGAAAAAAAGGTCAAAATAAAAATGATAACTATTGAATATGTGTCTACAGCAGACTTGCATTCCCCATTTATTTACTGGCTAATTGGTATCTTTGACAGTTTAACAATCTTAATCCAAATAGTCCAAGCCATTTTCTCCCACTCACCACTTCCTTGACCTTAGCCACATTTATCTCTTCATTCCACATACGTTTCTCAACATCTTCTAGGATTTTACTGAGTGAGGAGATTGTCTGAAGTAGCTCATTTCTTTCACGATTTATTCTCTCAACGTCAGAGGCCGAAATGTCTTGCACATCACATTTTTGCTGCAGTATATTATTCTCTTCATTAATTGCCTTCAACTCCAATGCTGAAATAGAATCATTGGACATAAAAGCAAATAGTTACATAACATTTGTCAATAGTCATACCTTTTGAACAGAGGTAACTGATAAGAGTACTGTGACACTTTCACCCCTCCCATAAACATTCTCAACAGCTAGGATTACACAATGAAGTCTGCATCTTTTCTATTTATGTAGTCTCTCTAAATAAAATAAAAATGATTTAGGTTGTTTTGCTAACCCCCAAATTACCATCTGTCCAAATAAACCTATAATAGTAGGACAATGAAAGAAAGTCCATACTGAACTTCATACAATTTACATGTGTATAGTTGCCTTTTACATCAGGACGTTCCCAATTTTGATTGGGTACCAGAGCTGAAGCAATTGCAGTGGAACCCTGTTACAAGGTAGTCGTTGGAGGAGGGAATAAACTCAAACCAGCCTTATGAGGGGTGGAGGGGGAATTGATTTGAAGTGCTTTCAGATGTCCTCCTGATATGAAAGGTGATGTGCCAAATGTAAGGATTCTTATGAAATTAATGCTGCACAAATTTGAGCAAAATAGTTCCCAACTCATTCATCCAAACTTTTTTCTCCACGCTCATTATTAAACTACAAAAATAATTGGGAGACCTGCTGATTCTAGTTCTTCCCGAACTGCATTCGCTCGCTGTTCATGAAAAGCTTTATGGGCTTCCATTTCCACAAGGTAGTTCTTATATTTCTGTAGGTCTGCTTGTAAGCTAGCTTTTGTTTTCTTCAGTGCTTGAACTCGGTCCTGAAAAAACAAACAGCAATGCACTCAGACAAGATCAAGGAGCTCGCCGTGTGAAGAATCGCATTGGAACTTATCAGCCAACACTGTTCCATATATTCCAAATCACTGAAATACGTAAGGTAGATGAAAAGATATTAGCAACTGAATGTCACTGACTGGTTCATTCTCTTTTTCAATCTCCAGTCTTTCCAGCTCTTGTGCCAGACTCCTGTTCTCTGCAGACACAGCTTCAAACTGAGCCTCGTCCACTCCAAACCGTTGCTCTGTAAAACAAAACGCCTTGGACATTTGTTCGCGGTTTCAGCAGTTTCAATTCTCCAAGGGTTGTTGAACTCATTTTTAAAAAACTCCAAAACACAAAACATTCCACTTTATTGCAATGATATTCTACACTTTAATTGCCAGATTTTCAAGAAAATCTTGAAAGTTATTTAAACTCAGAAATAGGAAGTTTAGACTGTGATGGTACACAATGCTGAATATTAGCTCTCTGTGACAGGAGTTGCAGGATTTACAGCAGCAAAAACAACTTTTGTCTAATTATTTAATGCTTTTTGTTTAGTACAAAGCTTTTGTTTTGGTTAACCATAACTGATAACACACAGAGAGCCATCTTGCCACGTAAACATGATTCTGAGCTTCCATTGCCTGGTATTTCATCTCTTATGATTCATTTGATCAGCGTTTTAACTCAGCAAATCATGGGGTGCTCACCATGTTAACCAGAGAAAACAACACAGTAGGATTCTACTAATGAACTTACAGGCTGCCGATCAGCGGTTTCATAATGAAAACGTTTTCCCCCAGAAACATGTCCAAGTTATACTCACTCAACAAAGACAAGTGATCCAAGTTATCGTCATAGTTGTCTATGCCCATCATGAAGTTTATGTAACACTTTTCAGTGTAGTTAATGAACAACTAAAAAAACACAAAAACAAAAATCTGTAAAGTATTCGGTCCTTTCTTTTGGTCAGCACCTTGCTCAAGAGTATCCAAATCAAACAGAGTTCCATGCATCCCAACTGAACATGGAAATTCCAGATATTTAGTGGAATGGTAGGTGGGTGATCCTGCTTACCCAATACTTGAGAGTATTAGGTACTGGCAAGAACCAAGGCTTGGGGTCCCTAGAGTTTGTTGATGTATTGCTGGAGCCTAACTAGCTAAAACCAGATAGCTTGCCATTGATATCATTGTCTGGCAACCTTTCCTGCTGCTTGGACCACCTAACTGTCAACTAATTTAACTATAGGAATAATGAGAGCTGGGTGGGAAGACTCTTTGAGCTCCAAAGATACCCTGCAATGGGATATTACAGATTTACTGATCTACAAGGAGATTGCAGCTAACAATCAAATTTAAAAAAACAAACATTTGCATCTCTCAGCAGACAATAAGGGATGAAGTGAGTTGTTTGAATAAATCCCATTTTCATGTAGCAAGTCCAAAAAAACTCAGGAATCATGTACCCTATTGTGATGAACACCATCCTCAGTCACTCTCTCTATCTGGTCCCAGTCCTTCTCATCACCAAATAGTATCTTATCTGGATCTGCAACACTCAGTAGCTGTTGGTAAGAAAAAGACAAACGTTTTATCCAAATTACGTTTACACAAATAATCTAGAAGTGGTTACACCGACATTGCTTTCTAGTCAAAGATCTGCTGCCATAGCAATTATTGAAGTCAAAAAATTTAAAAAACAAAGGAGGTTAAAGTAATTTTATATTTAAAGTATTGTTACAGACTTTCCTCCTTTCAGGATATACTTAATCTCACGTCTCAATTTATAAGAAAAAATGTTAAATTACACTTACCTTAATCTGGTCCATTAGCCAAATCAATGCACCAACAATCTGTGGCCACGTGTGTGGAGCCCCAACTGTGTACATTGAGCTTTTCGACAATGGAAAGGGATACCTTGAATCAAGAGGAAAAGATTCAGCAACAGAAAGTAATATAAAAATAGAAAGTTTGTGTCAACCTGCGTAAAACTTTAATAATTTAGATTATAAGTGCTATAAAAAAGCAAGTTGTCTTTATAATAATAATCCTTGCATTTGATATAATGCCTCATCACGTAGTTGAGACATCTCAAAGCGTTTCACAGGATATACTGTAAAGTGAATTGACTATATTTTATATTAATACATTACAAGCACTTCTACCAATCCCACATTCCCTGATCATTCTAAAATAATAAAAAAATTCTATAGATACACTAATGCAGCCAATGGCTGCAAATCATTATCAGCGATTCAGATCTTACCCAAGGTCTTTAAAGATTCTTGGAATCTCTTCCTCAAACTTCGAATCAGGTAGTTGATAGGATGGATCAATCGTGCTGTTCATGAAAGAGAAGATCCTCAGGAAATCCTTGGTAGAGGGAGACTGCAGACTTTTCATTGATACAGGTTGCGGATAACCAATCTCTCCAAGGAACTACAAATACAAGTTCAAAAGCAGAAATCAACAAAAATTTGCTTGACAAATAGATTTATTTCAAGTGCAGCTAACAGTGATATTAGGGAAAATCAAGAATCACTCTCACCTAACATAATATTAATATCAATAATAATCCTTGCATTTGATATAGTGCCTTATTCACAGGATGTACTTTAAAGTGGTGCCACGTGTGTATTTTGCAAGTAAATGCGACAGCCAATTTGCGCACAGCAATGTCCCAGAGAGTAATGGAACATCCACTTCTTAGGTGAGAATAGACAACAGTGTACCAGAATTTTGTAGAATTAATAATAATAATAATCCTTGCATTTGATATAGCGCTTTTCACGTCGGGAGGATGTCCCAAAGCGCTTCACAGAACACACTGTAAAGTGAATTGACTGTATATTTGTGGGCGAACGCGGCAGCCAATTGCACACAGCAATGTCCCACAAACAGTCGTAGATTGAAAATGACCAATTTTATTATTGTTTTTGGTTTTGGAGGGATTATTATTAGGCGTGTGGAGTAAGGAAACTTGCCCAAGGTTTCACCCTCTGCCTGGAATTGAACTCAGGTCTCTCACTTGCAAAGCGAGTGCTCTAACCACTGAACTACAGGACTCCACCTTGCTCAAAAGCTAGTTAGATGTCCAAGAGCAGCCTAGTTTTTTTTCCCCAAAACAGTTTCCTTCCCTTCCGGCTTGAAAACACTTAGCTTTTTCTGAGCACCTCCCAATGACAACATAGCTATATGATAAAAATTGAAAAAAACAGACATTCTGACAATTCAAGACTCAAATCATTAAGCAATAGAATATTGCCCCCCTCAAAGTCCAATACTAGTGGTTAGCCAAGGGTTCCAAACCTTCCCTACCCCGTGGCAATTTGTGATGTTATCTCATCTGGAGAGGGCACAGCCTTCAAAAATGTTACAGTATGCAATAGCATTTTCAACACAAGGTATGCATGGGTTATCCGGTGGTCTCAGTACCTCACAAAGCTGCCGAAGGCACTGTTGCACAAAGCTTTTATCGTGAAGGGGTCTTGGATCCTTTATTTTTTCTGGGCCTCCGAATGCTCCATGGGATCCAATAGTACTTGACCTGAAAAAGGGTTGGGGAGTAGAAACACCTGTAAGTTTTTAGAACATTAAAACATTTCCACTGATCCCCTCTTGTGTCAGTGACATAATCGACATGTAATCTTCAAATTAGTTTAAAATGCACAATAGAGGAAATATGTATTTTTGATCAGTGCTAAATTAGCATTAGCCATTATATTATGTAAACTTTGTGCATTAAAAGTTATAATTCCACATGATTTGATGTTCAAGAAGTTAAATACCAACATCACCTTCTGCCAAAGAAGCTTATTCTTCTCTCACAGTTGCCTGACCCAGGCCTTGTATTGGCCAGTCTGCCAATTGCATGTCGGTCTTTCACACTGAGAACAAAAAAAAACACATCAACTACGCATGATGGGACAAACATTTTTCTACTACTTATCTTGCTCATTTTTGTTTATTGATCCTTGTTTATTTTTAACTTTCTTGGACAGCTGGGTGTCTGACACATGCAGAGGCCAATACTATGCTTAAAACACCAGAGTTCCATGCATGTCGTCTACCTTCTTTTCCCCCTCATGGGAATGCGTTTGGTCCATACCCTAACTATCTCCTTGAAGGCCTCCCATTGCTCGTTTACTGTTTTACTCGTCAATCTTTGCTTCCAACCATCTGGGCCAGATCCCTTTTCAACTCACTGAAATTAGCCCTCTCCCAGTTGAGCATCTTCACCTTTGATTGTTCCTACTCCCTTTCCATAACTACTCTAAACCTAATGATATTGTGATCGCTGTGGAAACGTACTGATCAAGGAAGTTCTCCTGTACACATTTTAGGAATTCTTCCCCCTTCATGTGGAATTCTTCCCAGTTTATGTTTGGATAATTGAAGTCTCCCATTATTACTACTCTATCGTTTTTACATCTTTCTGAAATCTGCTTGCGGATTTGCTCCTCTATATCCTTCCCACTATTTGGTGGTCTGTAGTGTACACCCAGCAGCGTAACAGCTCTTCTTCTGCTCCTTAACTCTACCCAAATAGATTCTGTCTTTGATCCCTCTAGTACATCACTAGAGCCGTAATAGTATCTTTGATCAATACTGCCGCCACCCCTCTCCTTTTTATCCTTCTCTTATCCCTCCTGAATACATAGTAGCCAGGAATGTTAAGCTCCCATTTCTGCCATTGTTTGATCCAAGTCCCTGTTATTGCCACTACATCATAATCCCACATGGTAACTTGTGCCTGCAGCTCACCAACCTTATTTGTCACACTATGTGCATGTATGTACACATAAACATGCACTCCAAAACAGCCTTTTTTGGCTTTGCATTTCTCCCCCATTTAATCCTGCCTCTGTGTTCCTTGTTTCTCCTCTCTGATGCTACTTCCTGGTTCCCTCGCACTCCTGCTAAATTAATTTAATACCTCCCCCACCCTCTACCCTTTTCTATCCTACGTCATTGGTTCCAACATGGACCACGACTTGTGGCTGTTCCCTTGCCCCCTCCAAAATGTTCTGTACACGTTCCATGACATCCTCCATCCTGGTACAAGGAGTTAAGCATTTTTGATATTTGATATTTGAACATAGGTTAGGAGTTGAAATATTTTCCATAGGTATTAGTTTTTACTTGTCAAGACACACACATACCTTTGCGGCGTGATCAATCCTAATCTATTGGCTTCACTAATTCTCTGAGGCTGCAGCGGCCTATAGGCGTTGGAGAGCCGACTCATTTGCTCAGCGGTTCAACTATATAAGACAAAGCAAAGGATTTTTAGATAATGCAGTAAATATGGTAACTAAAATATTTCAAACTGTTTGACAATATCCTTTAGTGTAAGTATTAAGAAATACAGCATAGCAATTGCACATTTTTATGGTTTACTTTAATGAAGTTTGTGAACTAGAAATGATACACTATTATTGAATTGACAGCCAAATGCAGAAATCCCTCTTTCCATGTTGCCACTCTAAACCTGCTAAAGAAACGTGGAGTCCTGTAGCTCAGTGGTTAGAGCACTCGCTTTGCAAGTGAGAGACCTGAGTTCAATTCCAGGCAGAGGGCGAAACCTTGGGCAAGTTTCCTTACTCCACACAGAGCCTAATAATAATCCCTCCAAAAACCCAAAACAATAATAAATTGGTCATTTTCAATCTACGACTGTTTGTGGGACACTGCTGTGCGCAATTGGCTGCCGCGTTCGCCCACAAATATACAGTCAATTCACTTTACAGTGTGTTCTGTGAAGCGCTTTGGAATGTCCTCCTGACATGAAAAGCGCTATATCAAATGCGAGGATTATTAAGGTTTCCTTTTCAGAGTGGATCATTTAAGCTTTTAAAATTATTAAATAAAAAAAGGCATGCATCATGCCATTCAAATCATTGTTCAGCCATATTAACGGGCGTGTTTCAATATTTTCAAAGACTGGCAAACAATTACATATGAAGACTCAGCATTAGACTACGAGTCTCATATTATTCCTCAAGAATCCCATCGGTTTCCCGATGAATACAGTTGCACAGAGCTTTCGTCCAGCTAATGTATGGGGGGAAAAAAAGTGCAGTGCAATTTGGGATTAACGCGGAGACCATACCGAGGAGGTGATATTAACACCACGGTACAGTATAGCATGGAGCTCTGTAACTCGGTGGTTAGAGCAGCTCTCCTCGCAAGCGAGAGACCTGGGTTCGATTCCCGGGCAGGGTGAAATGTTGGGCAAGTTTCCTTACCCCACACCATGTTTACCTAGCAGTAAATAGCAACCCCCGTTGTTAAGTCAATCGACGGGTGGGGGGGGGGGTCCTTCAAAAAAAATAACAATAATCATCATCACCGTAAGAAATCGGTGTCACTTCCACCCACGGCTGTGGGTGTGGGTCGCGGCTGCCGCGTTTCACCCCACAAAACGTGCAGCCCATTTAAACCTGACGGCGTGTCCTGCGGAGCGCTTCGAGACGTCTCGGAGACGTGACGAGGAGCTGCATCGCACATGCCGGGATTATTCGTGGAGTCCTGCAGCTCAGCGGTTAGAGCACTCGCTTTGCGAGCGAGAGACCTGAGTTCAATTCCAGGCAGAGGGCGAAACCTTGGGCAAGTTTCCTTACTCCACACAGAGCCTAATAATAATCCCTCCAAAACCAAAAACAATAATAAATTGGTCATTTTCAATCCACGACTGTTTGTGGGACATTGCTGTGCGCGATTGGCCGCCGCGTTCGCCCACAAATACGCAGTCGATTCACTTTACAGTGTGTTCTGTGAAGCGCTTCGGGACGTCCTCCCGACGTGAAAAGCGCTATATCAAATGCAAGGATTATTATTATTATTATTATTATTATTATTATATTACTGTTATCCCCTGGCGAAGTGAAGGGGAGGGAGAGGGGGAAGAGGAGGAGGGGAGAAGAAAGAAAGAAAGAAAGTAAGTAAGTAAGTAAGAAAGACATTGTAAAGGGGCAGCGAGTTATTTACCAACAATGGGGAGAAAAGAAAACAACCAACGGTTCGATCCGACTTTGTGTTGGGGGGTAAAATCCCGCGGTCGCAGTTAATATTTCTGTCGGTCTCTCTCTCTGTCTCTCTCAGTGTATACGGAGAGCGCGTCCTTCGGCTTCGGATTTTTTTTTTTGCGCGTGAATTCCCGCCCGACGGCGACTCAAAAATAAACGGTCGCTGGCGCCGGAAGTACGTCACCGCAGACCCCGGCTCGCGGCGACGCCACGACGCCAGGTCACGTCACCTCACCTCACGTCGGACGCGCCCACGGCTGTCAATTCAGCTCCGGGACCCTGGAGGTTTGGGGGCGGTTTCGCGCTCAGGTTTGGGGGCGGTTTCGCGCTCAGGTTTGGGGCGGTTTCGCGCTCAGGTTGGGCGGCTTTCACTGCCCCGATTGAGTTGCGTCGTGCGGTGTTCAGCGTTGCGCGGCTTTGGGCGGGCGGATAAGACGTGTAAACCTGTAAAAAGCGTCGGGGGCTACTTTTTGGGCTGGTGGTCTGGTGGACTTTGGGCTACTTGTAGCCTCGCCTGCCCCCCCCCGGCCTGCAGCCCGGCCCGGCCCGGCTCTGGTCTGCTCAGGGAGGGGAGGAAAGGGGAGGTGGGCTGGTGAGCTGACAGCTCCCACTCCCGAGGGAGGGAGGGAGGGAGGTGGAGGTCAGGGTACCAGGGCCGGTCAGGTGGGAGGGACTGACGAGCACCGCCGGCCCGGCTCCGGCTCCGATGGATCGAGATCCTTCTCCCAAGAAGATGGCCGACGAGGACGATGAGCCGCCAGTGAGTGGGGTTTGTTTCGGGGTTTGTTTGTCGTCTGGTGGGTGTCGTGTTTTTTTTTTACCGATCAGACCCCCGGAGAGTCTCTTAAGATTCCCGCCCCCGTCATTGCCCCACCCCACCCCGAAAGGCAAAGGAAATGAAACGAGCGATAGAGAAGGAAGCGTGTAATAATAATAATAATAATAATAGTAATAATGGTAGTAATAATCCTTGCTTTTGATACCGCGCCGTATCGCGTCCGCGAGACGTTTCGCGGGTTATACTGTCAAGTGAATTGACTGTAAGTTTTGTGGGCGAAAGGCGGGGGAGGGAGTGTCCCCCAAACAGTCGTGGATTGAGTGACCCAAATTATTGTTGTTTGTTTATTTTGAAAGGGTTAATACCCCTCAATACCCGGGGTTTCCCCCCACCCCACCCCGGAAAGTGATCCGCCGTTCGACTAACAACCAGGCTCCCGCTTACTTGTAGCTTTGTAACGCCTTCTGTTCAAAGTGCTTCACCAGGAATTAATAATAATAATAATAATAATGATCCTCGCATTTGATATAGCGCTTTTCACGTCGGGAGGACGTCCCAAAGCGCTTCACAGAACACACTGTAAAGGGAATTGACTGTATATTTGTGGGCGAACGCGGCGGCCAATTGCACACAGCAATGTCCCACAAACAGTCGTGGATTGAAAATGACCAATTTATTATTGTTTTTGGTTTTGGAGGGATTATTATTAGGCTCTGTGTGGAGTAAGGAAACTTGCCCAAGGTTTCACCCTCTGCCTGGAATTGAACTCAGGTCTCTCACTTGCAAAGCGAGTGCTCTAACCACTGAGCTACAGGACTCCATGAATTGGGGTTAAGTGCAGTGACTGACTGGGTCAACTGTATCCCTGGGTCTTGTCTCCAGACACAGTCTCAGCAGTGTCTCGCAAACAGCCATAGAGTGAGTGACCGGTTTTATTTGGGGGTTGTTGGCCAGGACGCCGAGAGAAACTCTATTCTCTTTTCGAATGGTGCCATGGTGAGCTTTAAGGTCCACTTGAACAGGCAGACGGGAACTCAGTTTAACGTCCTACCCGAAGAAAGGCACCTCCGACAGGTTCTAAATCCCGAGGTGGGTCTTGAACCCTCAAACCTTCTGACTCCGAGGCAAGAGTCCTACCAACTGGACCAGGCTAATACACAATTTATATTGCATCTGGGATACCTTATGGAATGGATTGGCTTCATGCAGGATCCAGTTTGTAAATGTTTAGATGGATAATATAATTATGGATAATAGCTCATCGATGGGACTACTTGTACAATACAGAATTGATCAGGTTTTACGAAAATCAACAGAACTTGTTAGAATCTTAATTCAATTTAAAGAGTCAAAAGTAATGAAAGACTAAAGTAGTAATTCTTAATTTTTGTAGTTTGATGAAGACGTGGAGGAAAGTGGAAGTGGTGCAGAGGGTGGGCAAGGCAGGCGAAGAGACTCTTCTCCAAGGAACGTAAGTATTAGATTCCTTAAAAACATTTTAGTGTTCCGAGATTCATGAACAGTGCTGTGTAAATGCAAGTTGGTTTGTTTAGATTAAGGAGAGGTTTCAGAAATTATTATTGCAAGAAATTGAGTTGTAACCTCAAATGTATAATTCTTTGCAGATAATAAAGAGCAATTTTAAATCCTGAAAGATGAAATCTATCAGTTTCTGTAGGCACAGGATAACTCCAACCTAGGCATTTAGTTTTCACTTTCACAACTGGGTTGGTAGGTTTTGAGGTTGTCTCAGAGGCAGGGTGGAGCAAGACTATGGAGGGATTTAAAGGTTAAAGTGAGGATTTTCAACTCGAATAAACTCATTAATGTTGCTGCCACAACAATGTTTAATGCTGTTATTTTCACTTTGCGGATGAAGAGTTGTAAAGTGCATTTTCTGCATCCTTACAGCTTTTGGAAATACCCTGATAAAATTTAACAATATATACAAAACCCCAGGAATAAGATGGGAGTCTAAAACATTATCTTGTATGATTATCAGTGAGCCTTAATCCTTTTTGTTTGGCTTGACAGGAGACTACCGCATACGGAAGCCATCATTGTAACTAAAGTATATAAACCAGACTGAGAATTCCATACATACATTTTACTTAAGCATGAAAATTTTTCATTCGTCTGGAATGGAGTGCAGACTCACCCCGGAGGAATGCATCCTGCTTTGCTAATCGTGGAAAGTTTTCAGTGCAGATTGGCAAGGACTAAGCGTGGGCAACGTCAAAGTTTGCATTGGGGACTGATGGAGTTTAACCAACTAAAAAAGCTTCGCTTGCCACTGTGACACTGTTTGGCAATCTTCGTCTTGCTTGTTGAGTTGGAACTATAGCTTTCAGGGTTAACAGGAGCCAATTGGGAAGAATCCCCCCTCCCCTAGTGACTGTGATATCATCCGCAGACATGGGGTAAATTTCCACATGTATGCGGATGACACCCAACTCTACCTCTCTGCCTCTACCCTGCTCTCCAGTACTACTGGTGTCCTGACCGACTGTCTGTCCGACATCCAAGTCCTGGACGAAGGCCAAATTTCTCCAACTCAACGTCAGTAAGACTGAGGCCCTCCTGATTGGCTCGCACCAGCGCCTCTGTACCTCAGGCGCTGGCAGCATCAGCCTCCACGACTGCACACTCAACCTCACTAAGCCAGTCAGGAACCTGGGTGTCTTGTTTGATCTACCTCTCTGACCTGCTGACTCCCTACCAATCTGCCCACTCCCTCCATTCAGCGGGCTCCGGCCTGCTCCGCCCTACCGCCCTACCATCGGTGGCTGGGCTTTCAGCCTCTCTGCCCCCATGCTCTGGAACTCCAACCTACGGTACCTTCGCCTCGCTTTCTCCCTTGTCTCCTTTACGGCTGTTCTCAAGACCCTTCTCTTCGACCGTGCCTTTGGTCTCCCTCCCACCTCTCTGCCTTCCCTCACCCCTACACCATCCCTCCCCCATGCTCGGACCCCGACCCCTGACTGTTCAGTGCTTTGGGACGTTCTCCCGACATGAAGGGCGGTCTATAAATATAATTTTGTTGTTGTTGGTGGTCTGTGTCTCCAGGTCCTATTGATTAACCAAGCTGACTGGTCTTTCATCAGAAGTGCTTTGGAGTACTGCAGAATGGTTTAAATGGTTGTGAGAAAATATGGAAATGCAGTTATGGTCTTGGAAGTTTCCCTCAATCACTATTCCAAGGAAAGATCAGAGGAAAAGATTTTCTAATAGCTGGTTCAGAGCAGATAGATGCACGATTGCTAGAATAATTCAAGCTTAAATGTCTTCATTCAAAATCTATGTTCCTTCCCAACAGTGAGATGTATGATGTATGGCTTTGGGGATGACCAGAATCCATACACTGAATCAGTGGATATTTTGGAGGACCTCGTCATAGAGTTTATCACAGAGATGGTGAGCAGAGAAACTCTAACATTTTATAGTTTCTGTTTTGAAGTTTGGTGAGACCTGTAAAGCAAAGCATTTCTATTCAAATATAATCCTCCAAATTCTTGCCATTCTCAAAATTCAAGTGTCTGTGACCTCCTAACTCCCTACTAATCTGTGTGCTCCCTCAACCCAGTTGGCTCCAGCCTGCTTCAAGCCTTGGGACATGCTCCGGATGGGAAAGGCGCTATACTAATGTAATTTGTTGTTGTATGAAGAGAAAGTGATTTGTATACACTTGAGCCATTACGTATAAATTAAATAGGTGTTTGTACAATATAAGCTTAGAAAATGGTATTGGAGAAATTTAGATTTTGGAATTTAAATTTGTTTAATTAAATGTTTTACTGTAATAGTATTAACTGTTTTAAATTTAAACATATATAAAAGCTCTGCGCTAAATGGTGATTGTATCATAGTTGTAAATCTTTTTGGAATTGTCTTTGTGTCTCACTTTAAAAAAAAGACTGATTTCATTTATTTTTCTTCACCACATAGACTCACAAGGCCATGTCAATAGGACGCCAGGGTCGAGTGCAAGTGGAAGATATTGTTTTTCTGATTCGCAAAGACCCACGGAAATTTGCCAGAGTGAAAGATCTACTGACAATGAATGAAGAGCTGAAGCGTGCCAGGAAAGCTTTTGATGAAGCCAATTATGGCTCCTAGACAAGGAAGCGTTTAGTCCAAGTAGTTGAAAAATTCAGTATAATTGCTGAAACTTGGGAAAGGCATAAAATAGTATCAGTGTGGACAGACTGGAACTTGACAGAATAGGGTAATACCTTAAAGAATTTGTTTAAAACTACTATACATTTCACCAAAACAAGTGCTGTATTTGAACAGCACATGCAACATCAGGGGTATCTCAGTGGATTTGGCAATAAACATGAGAAGTGTTTACTTATTTAAACTTCATCCTAAAAGGGTGATGGTTAATAAGGGTCGAGTGTTTGCTGCTACAATTTTCGTCTATAAAGTTGAAAATTTTTGAGACCGTCCTTTATAACGTTCAAAAATTGAAAAAGGAACAATGCAAAAACGGAATGGCAGGGAAAGTGATTTTATAAATCATAATGTTTATTACAAAAAAAGTAAAAGACCAATGAACCTTAGCTAAATGGGAATGTTCACATATAAACACGTGTAAGGTAATTGAAAATGAGGATGTTGCAAAATTCATGTGAATTCTTAAGCTCATAAAATGTATAGCATTTGTCACTACTATCACCGTTTGCAGGGCATTTTAAAAATATATTTTGAGGATTTAAACTCCAAATTGCATTTGGTGTTTTTAATCCTTAATTTTCTTTAAATATTATTTAAAATTAATGGTGCTACATAATGCTTTTACTGTTCCATTTCTTATCTCTTGTGTTGTGTTTTTTTAATACAAAATAAAACTTTTTTGGGATCTCAAATTAAAACACAGATTGTATCATGATTCTTGACAGAATTTCTTTGTGACCAAATGGAATTACTAAACTTTGCCGAAAGTTCTCCTTAAACAATGTGTAATTAAAATCAAAGTACTGTGCTATTGAAGACCATTATTTCTATTACTATAATAGTAATCCTTATAGAACATTAAAAGTTGTGAAAGATAGATTGTACTGTTCTCCTGTATACAGCTTTCAATCATATAAAATCTAATCTCTCATTCGTAGCCTAAACAAATTACAGTAAATTAATAACTTGACCCTGGCTTAACGTGTGACTTCCACTTAAGTCATGACGTGGTCAATATCTCGGCCACATTTATTTATACATATGCCTAACTTGCTGCTCTGGAAAACTTATCACTGAATGCTTTTCCTTTGGAATGACGAATTGTCAGTTTACTGTATTACCAACTTGCAGTATTTGGTTTCTCCATTGGATGGTGCTGATAACTAAATGGACCACTCCATTAAATATGTTGCCCCTCAGATCTGTGCAGTTCCGGACAGTAGTTATTCTGCCCAAGGAGGATAACTTTTAGCCAGCAAAAACGAGTCCTGTGGCTTAGTGGTTAGAGCATTTGCAAGCGAGTGGACCTGGGTTCGATTCTCGGCAGGGCAAAAAGTTGGACAAGTTTCCTTACTCCGCCGACTCTGTTTACCTAACAGTAAGTAGGAACCCGGTTGTTAGTCGATTGGTAGATCGCTTTTCCGGGGATAATAATTCCTTCAAAATAAATTAAAATAATTTGGTCACTCAATCCACGACTGTTTGTGGGACACTGCTGTGTGCAATTGGCCCCTGTTCTTCGCCTGCAAAATATAAAGTCAATTCACTTTACAGTATATTCTATGAAGTGCTTTGAGACGTCTCGAAGACATGATAAGGTGCTATATCAAATGCAAGGATTATTACAATTAGGTTAGATCCAATTTCATAGAGACCAGCCCTCCCAACAACTCATTCAAGTCATAGTTCTCAATGTATGATCTCAGGCAATAGGTGTGCTGGTTACAATGATATTGTCCTTAACATTTCCCAGTTTGGGTGGGCAGGAGGAGAGGATCACTGGATGGTAACACAAGCAGGTATTTCAGAAAGTGTAGTTTCTCTTTCCTGTCCCTCTCCCACCCACCACCCCACGAATGACTCAGCACCACACTGGACATTGTGGGTACTCAATGTACCAGGAGCAAGCCCAGTTCACACAAGTCCATTTAGGGGTTAGTGTAGACTATGGACCATAAGTAATTTGGGTATGTAGTTGTAGCCAGCAACAATGAGTTGATTGGAGCTAGTGTAAATTCCAGTCTATCGAGTTTAAATTCTACAACATATTCAATGCAATGCACTGAGCAGTGGGGAGCTGATAACAGCATTATTTGTCAATCGTACTTTGATGAATGAGGGAATGTTTCCACATGTTTACACTTTTCCACGATTCAACACAAGAATCAAACCACCTGGATGTTGTGGGATCTCTTTTAAAAAAAGTTTTCATTGTATTTGCAAGTTCTTCACATGTAACGACTGTTGCAAATTCAGAGAACTTTCATTTTTTCTCTGGCTTAGAAATATAGCTCACTATAGACTTGCCTTTGATTTGATAATTAAATATAGGAAGAAATAGAATTTCACTGTCAACAATCGTGTCTAGGTTTTTAGCAGTAGAATTATCGTAAAACCAATTCATATTGTTTTCAATTGTTTGAATATGTGTCTTCTGACTTTTTGCCTCTGTTCGAGTTAAAGTGAATAGATAGACACTTTAGCAAAGTAGAGTGTATACGTGAGCAGATTTATTTTACACATGAGTAGGTGCTTAGTGTTCATTAATCCATACTTCAGTTCACAATCAAAGCTCCCAGTGAGATCCATGAAATGGTGTCATCATCCAAAATGGGCATTATTTCTCCAGTCAGCATTGCTGACCCATGCTTTACAATCTTCCCCCCTTCGTGCCTATGGATGATTTTCTGCAGTAGAAACACTTTTTAAAATCATTATTGATAATTTTATATGCTAAGATAAACAATCAGAAATTAGAACTGATAAAATTAGATATTCTGAAAGTTTTTTGATGACATTATCAGTAAGTGTAGTGATGAAGTGAGCTCATAGTACAGTGAGACCTTGTTATGATGCACTCTTTCATCATTGCACTCAAAAATCCCAATAGCGATAAATGTCTTCCTTATAACCTTGAAGTGGAGCTTCCTTTGCTATCCATCAGATTATGGAATGGAACAAATATAAATTTTCCCTTAATATATCATGCTGTTTGAGATTTTTGTCACAAGTGTTTGGATTAAAGCTAATACAACTGTGATTACGTGCAGCCATGCTCAAACCAACTTTAGTTCCATCTCACTGTATTTCCAATAAAGAAACATCCCAACCTGCTTTTATAACAACGTCTGACCATTTACCCTGGAAGCTACAATGGAATATGAGTAACCCTTGGAAGTTAAAATGTGTTTGTTCATCTAGTTTCCTGTGCCAGGTACAGCAGCTCTTCTCCCACAAGTGATGCTCAGAGTTCTGGGGTCTGAGTGGGAGCCAGTGGGACATATCCCTCAAGAGGCTTTCTCTGGGGGTTGGATATATCTGCAGAAAGAAACACAATTGAAACATATTTGTTAATTTGGACTAGGGTAAGCTGATCTACATATGCAGGTAGATTTCTTATAACATATCTTAGACATTTGTGGAAGAGATATTTGAATAATGAAAATGTTATACAATGCTGTATATAACAGTAGAGGTGTCAACCTCTCCAAATAATATAGGAGAATCATGATTAACTTATATTTGCACTGAATCATTTCCCAGAGAAAACTTTTTTAGTCATGGCTGGGGTAAGGGAAGTCTGATTTAGGGATCTACTTCAAAGTCATCGGGCCAAATATGGTGCAAATACAAATTAAGCTTCAGTCAAGCAGGTTTCTGTTGTATTGAATGTGTTGTAGAAAATAAACCTGATAAAATGGAACTTACACCAGCTCCAGTCAACTCCTTTTTGCTGGCTTCAACTAAATATGCAAATTACTTATGGTCCATAGTCTATACTGACCCCTAAATGGACTTGTGTGAATTGGGTTTGCTCCTGGTACATTGAGTATATACAATGGCCAGTGTGATGCTGAGGCATTCAAAACAGGTTCCATCATGTGCTGAGTTGGATGATCTTCCCCTGGTAATACCAATGCATTGGAATTGCGTTGTATGCCCTGGTTTGTGGTGGGGGGGAGGGGGGTCAGGAAAGAGGGAGAACCGACACTTTCTGAAATACCTGTTTATGTGTTACCATCCAGTGGCCCTCTCCCCCTGTCCACCCAAACTGGGAAACGTTAAGGATAAGATCACTGTAACCATCATTGTATTGCCTGAGATCACACATTGAGAACCGTCACTTTAATGAGGTACTGGAGGACCAGTGTCTATTAAATTATATCCAACATACTAATAATAATGCTTGCATTTGATATAGCACCAAACTCCATGACCCCATCTCCCCCACTCTTGCCCGACTCCATTGGCTCCCTATCCTTCAGAGGATCCAGTTCAAGATCCTGGTCCTCACCTACAAAGCCCTCCATGGCCTCGCCCCACCCTACCTCTATGACCTCCTAACCCCCTACCAATCCGCCCGTTCCCTCTGCTCAGCTGGCTCTGGCTTGCTCCATGTCCCCCGACCCACCCACCCACCACTAGTGGGAGAGCCTTCAGCCACTCTCCCCCCAACCTCTGGAATTCCATCTCCAGTTACTCCGCCTCGCCTCCTCCTTAGCCTCCTTCAAGTCCCGCCGCAAGATCCTTCTCTTCGACCATGCCACCCCCCTTCCCCTCCCCTGACCCCAGCTCGGGTCTGAAATGCTGTACTCTGTCACGCGCCTTGGGAAGTCCTCCCGATGTGAAAGGTGCTATACAAATGTAATCTTGTTGTTACTGTAGCGCCTTATCATGTCTTTGAAATGTCTCAAAGCACTTCACAGAATACACTGTAAAGTCAATTGTATATTTTGTGGGCGAAACGCGGCTGCCAATTGTGCACAGCAGTGTCCACAAACAGTTGTGGATTGAGTGACCACATTTTTTTTGCATATATATATTTTGGGGGCTGTGAAGAACCAGAAAGAAATTATAATACAAAATTGGTTTGTTAGCCTATTCTAAACTGTTGGAAGCTTCTGGGCAGAAATACAGCATCTTTGAAGATGAGGCTAATGGAGTCACACAATTGTTTAAAACCAAGATGAACCAATGTACAAAATTCCTGACACCAATAAGTGTGATTCATCTAAATGGTACTGTCATTGTTGAGATGCAATAATGCTCAGTATTCTATACCTTTTTGTGCACCACTTCAGTTCATTAACTTAGAGACATGAGAACAATTACACACTTTGTTTTATATAACATTCCTTCATTATCTTTGGTACGTTGGTGACTTACCTTTGTTTGATCAAACCACAATTATTATTATTAAATAGCAATCGACAGTAAATGTTACCTGTTTCCACTTTGAATAAAGAAAGACTTCAGGTTGTTACAGGAAATACATTTGTGAATACTGTAGCTTGTTTATGTTTATGTCTAATAACTTCCCACGAAAACTTTTTTTTCCAAATAAATAAAAAACTAATTTATATTGGACTACGTATTTCAGCAGTCCGTACTCCCTCCATACTTACGTATATAAAACAAAACTGTCTTGAAATAAGGACTAATTTTCCTTAACCTTTCTCAACTTAAATAGCAATTTTTATAGATTAAAAATGTTAAATCATGGTTAAGATTGTGCTCTCATGGATAGATAACAGGCTTGTTATTTGCTATTTTCTGAAACCAGTACTAATACAACAACAACAACTTGCACATATATAGCGCCCCTCGTGCAGAGTAATAATAATAATAATAATAATAATCCTTGCATTTGATATAGCGCTTTTCACGTCGGAAGGACGTCGTTCCAAAGCGCTTCACAGAAACGCGGCAGCCAATTGCACACAGCAATGTCCCACAAACAGTCGTAGATTGAAAATGACCAATTAATTATTGTTTTTTTGTTTTTGGAGGGATTATATTAGCTTATGGAGTAAGGAAACTTGCCCAAGGTTTCGCCCTGCCTGGAATTGAACTCAGGTCTCTCACTTGCAAAGCGAGTGCTCTAACCACTGAGCTACAGGACTCCACGAAGCGTTCCTATGTGCTTAAATGTTGCTCAAAGGATACGTTTTTGCGACCACAACTAAAGAGGAATGCAACATTGTAACCGAAACATATATTTTCCAATGATGGCTTGTATTTTCATGTAACATTAAAGAGAATTTATTTATCAAAAAATAAAAGCAAAAGTGTGATGTTTTAAAAATATTTTGGCAGATAACCTGAGACTGGTTTAAGAATTGTTTGCACAGAATTTGACCGTTTGGAACTGAATGTTGGAACAACAGTCAAAAATCTCTAAATCATTTGTACAAAAAGGAGTAAATTGCTAAAACCTAAATGATTCAATAGTTAATGATTCTCTTAAGATTAGTTTTTCTTTGTTTGCACAGAAACAAAAGACTCAGATATTTAAAACTGAGTTTGGGAAGTATTTCTTCAAGCAGAGGATTGTGGAGATGTCTAGCCTAGAAAGTTGCTGAGCATTATCAAGGGCTTTGGTTATTCTATGATCAATTGCGGTTTCAATAAGCTGTCCCAACTAAAGAGCTCAAATTAATCTGAGAAACAATTTTGCAGCAATGATTAGCACAGGTAAACGGTAATAGAGGGGAGAAGAAGACTATAGGTGAGGTTAATAGGAGGGCTGGTTTGGATTATTGTATAAACTCCAGCACTGACTAGTTGGACCAATTGGCCTGTTTCTGTGCTGCATCCCTATCTATGTAATATTGTGCTCTTATGTGCAGCAGCTTTGGTTTTCTTTGTTAATTATCCTAATTATTTAAGATTAAGCTCCTAACTCTACAGTTTTGATAACTTGGTCACTTATACACTTAGTGTCAGAACGCACCTCCCTAAAATGTACCACTTGATATGGTGCAGTACCTTTCAACATAACATAAGATCACAAGCTTGGTTTGGATGAAAAAGCCTTTTGGCCCGTCTGATCTCAGAATAAATGTACTACCATTTTCCACCTCCACGGCATTGCCCGCCTCCGCCAATACCTCACAACCAACGCAGTTGAAACCCTTGTCCACGCCTTCATCATTACCCGGCTGGAATACTCCAATGCCCTTCTTGCTGGTCTCCCCAATTCTACCATACCCAAAATCCAATTAATTCAAAACTCCACTACATGAATACTCACCTGCATGAAACTACGTACCCCCATCACACCAGTCCTCCAGACTCCATTGGCTCCCCATCACCGAATGGATCAATTTCAAGATCCTCTCATTTGTTTTTAAATCCCTTCATGCCCTCAGACTTCCCTACCTATCCAAACTGCTTAACCCCCACTCCCCTACCCGCTGTCTATGCTCGGCTAGCTCTAGCCTCCTGTTTGTCCCTCATCCCCTCCACCATCGGTGGCTGTGCCTTCAGCCACTATGCCCTGAAACTCTGTAACTGTCTCCTTCAATCTGTCACTTTGCCGCCTCATTCCCCACCTTAAAATCCCACCGAAAGACCTTCCTTTTTGATCTGGTTATGGTCACCTGCCCCCTCTCCCTTGCTCATTGTCAGATGAGCACTGTGAAGTGCCCAGGATACTACCAGGAGGTAGCGCTATATAAATGCAAGTTGTTGTTATAATCCTCCCATCACAGCATCAAGCTGCTATTAAATGAGCACAGAGCTGAACCTGGATTAATTACCTGGGTTCAATGGATGTGACCATATTCAATAATGGTCTTGTGTACATTTAAATTATTTTTTTTTAAAATATTTTTTAAAAAATACCTTTATGTCTACAATTTCAACTTAGAGATAACAATCAAGGGCACAATTTCCCATAACCTGTGCCATATGGAAAATGTGCTTTTCATGGAGGAAGAATGAATGAATAAAGTTTTTCCTTCTCACCCAGAGTGGAACCATTGACTAGGAGGTCTGTGTGAGAAATTCCCAAACTCCCCAGGTCTTTCCAAACTGATTCAATCATCACATGAGTTCAAATTTCAGATATTCTCAAGACCCTCCTCATTGACTGCACCATTGATCACACTCCTACTCCAACCCTCCCTGCCCTCCACCCCTTCTGATCCCAACCCACTGCTTGGGTCCAAATCCCTGACTGTCCAGCGCCTTGGGACATCTTCCCAACATGAAAGGTCTTATACAACAACAAATAATTACATTTGTATATTTATACACTTCTGTTTTCTTTTCCCTAAGTATCAAACTGGCAACCCTGGCCGGCAAATGGTAGCAAATATTGCCTCCAAGTTTACGAATGTCACAGCAGTGATATTTTACTAAAGAAACCTCTATTGATCTCATTTAGGAACATAGGAACAGGAGTAGGCCATTCAGTCCTTCCAGCCTGTTCCACCATTCTATAAGATGATGGCTGATCTGTACCTCAACTCCAATTACCTGCTCTTGCCCCATATCTCTCACCCGTTTTTCAGTTATAACATTGAAATAGCTTCCACATATTCACTGGGTGCATAATTGAATCGTCACTATACACTGGCATACAAAATCTCACAACTACGCCTAAAATGACTTGTTGAGAAATGTTGGTGCGGTCTTAGTCTACAATTTTCCATCAGGACTTTGTTGATTTTAGTCTTGTGGTTACTGAAAAAAATGGTTTGTAAATGAAGGTGCTATTATGGCACATACAGCACAGTAGCCAATGGACTATTGCAGGCATTCGCAGCAATGGAAACTTGTTGAGAATTAGAGGTTAAACACAGTGAGTAACAGCATTCCTTTCTCAAGGCAGCACATGAATTCCAGCAAAATCCAAACAGATGCAATGAAACGCAGTTGCACAATGAAACACAAATGCATATCAAGAAACTTCCAGCAGATGCAAACATATTTTTCCATTTATTGATGGTCACATTTGGGCAGCCTGAAATAGGTAAGGGGTGTGGGAAATGGAAAAGTCACCCTAGGATAGAAGGCTTTTTTAAGGTACGTTGGCAGAATTATGTAAGATGAAATCTGCATTAGAACGATGTTCCATTTCTCATAACTGATCCTTTAAAAATTTTCCATTTCTCAACACAATCCCCTTAAGGAGCATTGGTTTACAAAAGACTCCAAAATAAAGAATGGAGCACATAATAATAATAATCCTTGCATTTGATATAGTGGCTTATCACGTAGTTAAGACTTCTCAAAGCACTTCACAGGATATACTACAAAGTGGTTTGTCTGTGTATTGCATATTCTAATATATAACAAACAGGGGAGGGGGCTCAGAGCTTTAATCGTCTCTGCGTATAGAAGAAGAATCCTTCCATTTGATATAGTGCTTTATCACATCTTCAAGATGTCTGAAAGCGTTTCACAGGATATATTGTAAAGTGAATTGACTGTATATTTTGTGGGCAAATCCCTAAGTTTGGGTAAATGATGCCTTGATTTCAAGGTGGGTGCATTGTATTGCCATTAATTCCCAAATCTTAAAAAAAAGAGATCAAGTATAGTCTTGTTTACTGGCGATCCTGGACTGCAATTGGTAGCAAATATTGCTTCCAAGTTTATAAATGTCACAGCAATGATATTTTACCCTTCCCTTGTTTCCAGTGTTTTTTAGTACTCAGGAGAAAAAAAATTTATGTATTTTTTGTGATGCACCAAATTTCGAAATGATGCCCACAACCTTCTCTCTCCATTTACAGTATCACTGAAGCTAAGCACTGCATCCTGATTCATTGTTTTCCCCCAGGAAGCGGAGGGAGCACATGGCTTTGCAGCAGTCTCACTCTGGGTGCAGGGCAAGTGAAGTGAAGAACAACTGGAGCCGTATGTATTAATAAAGGGTTGAGAGGCTCACTAACCTTTTAATAAATTCTTTTAAAAGAATTTATTAAAAGGTTTTTAAAAATCCTTAAGGTCAGGAACTTTCATGCTTGCAATGTTTAAGTTTAAAAGTACATGTCAGTCTTCATAATTCATGACACTCCAAGTGGTGTATAATTATATTCTCGAGATGATCTCATGACATTTGCCTGATTTGGGTTTCTGCCAGAAACTGAGATTATATTATAGAATTTATATTGATATTTGGGGGATTTCCCATGCTGCTACAAGGAGTAATTTCATCTCCTGGAGTATTAGCGCTCCGAGATGGTACCATACACGAAGGCCACAATATTAATGCAAGTTTTTGTTCTATTATTAGCATGTTGCTTTCAGAGATAATGTACATAACAATTTCTCACATTAACTTTTTTTAGAAAATATGTTTTTTCCCTTTCATTTTTTTTCTCTTAAAGACAAATATTGGGAACTTCCTGATCGCACTGTACTTGTGAAAGTGAAGGATGAACATGCTGAGCAACTGAACACCTTTTTCGTAAAACATGTAGTAGCAAATAAGAGAAAACAGTGAATACCATCAAGATGTGAAGGAACCGCATATATGCAGTGAGGCAGGCACTTTCCCACTGCATAGTGATTCTTTTGGCACATGGACAATACAAGTAAGGTTGTATCTCTGTGTTTGGTGTGATGCTATCAAGCCTTAGAGAGCAAGTATAAGACAGGTTAGATGCAAAGCAAATCTCCTCTACCTCATGTTAACAAGATGCCTCACTCCCAATTTCTCAAGCATAGCATTTCCAGTTATCACACACACACGCAGCAACACTGGGGCCAAAGCGAGTGAGATGGCTTAGTTAAATCTTTTAGGCGTAGTTGTAAGCTTTTCAAGCAGGCAGTGTACTTACGCATGAATGGGACAGTGAGCAGATTTTATCACTTTTACTGGATCACTATTTCATGTACTCCCTTTCACTGGTATATTCCATAAATGATCCGCTCAGATCTGCAAAGTCTTCCAAAACCAGGCTGGTAGAATCCTCACCAAACAGATCGTTGTGGTCAGGCCACGGCTTTTTGAAGAGGGATTCCTGAGGTTCCTGGGAGGTCGAAGAAACACGCAGTGGTCTGTCCCCACCTCTGGGTTTCTCCTTCTCAGCTTCGACCGAAGGGGCCAGTACGTGGTAGAGACTGGGCAGTCGGATGTCGTAGCGGACCCCACCCCTGCAGTAGAGCTTGTCAATCAGTGAGTAAAGCTTGTCTGCGATGTCGTTACCGAGCATGACAGTAAACAGGCGTGCAATGTAGTGATCGTTGGCCAAGAGCAGAAACAGCTTCCTCCTCCTCCAGGTCACATAGCAACAGTCTGTCTCTGCCGTCAGTGTCACCTGCAAAATTCAGATGCTTTGAGACCCTCGCTGATACCAGTGTTAAAATTACTGCAGATTAGCCTGCACTGTCTCACCAGAGGCACATCAGCTACAGATTAATTCCTCTTAACTTCCCTGAAATTCTTCACTCGACCTTAACAAGTTTGAACTGAGGACTTTAGTCCCAAGTTTTATGTTCAATTAACTGAGCTACTCAAGATATTCTCTTTTCATCCCCATAGGATTGAAACGCAGGAGAGAAGCTGGAACGTAGCAGAACATAGAAAGGAAGTTACCGAGCTCTCACTTATCTCCCAGCAGACAAATCAAGGCGGAGCAACGGACGCGATATGGGAGTAGGTTCGCTCAATTAAAAAAAACATGCTCAATGCCACCAGGCACCAACATTCAAAATTAATAATAATAATCCTTGCATTTGATATAACGCCTTATCATGTCATTGAGATGTTTCACAGAATATATTGTCAAGTGGAATGACAGTGTTAAACATTTTAATAGGAAAGCCATGATATATGTTAGATCTTTAAATGTGTTGGTGTCAAAAATGTCAAAAAGCAAGCCGAGAAAACTGAACTACAGTACCTGAAAGTTTCCTTCTTCATTTGGCCGCAGAGATTCCCATTCTGGAGAGTCAAGGAATTGGTACGGGAATATATAGTGCAGAAACTGACCCTCATGGGTCACACGAATCCTACAGAAACACATATAAAATGGTTTGCTTCAACTTTACTGAACAAGTTGTGGTTGTATGATCTTACCAGTAACTCCCTCCTTTGCAATTATTCCCTCCTTTCTATTCAACTGTGTTTTCTTAGGTCATGTTGGAGAAGAAAATTTAACTTACAGTACTTCAAGGGCTCTGCCAAATCTATCCTGACACCAGATGCTGGAAAATATGAAACAGACCATGAATGCCTATTCTCTCCCATTTTCTCCTTCCTGCTTGTGAGAGGAACTTGGCCTCTCCACTCAGCCCAGCATCAAACTCCACCAGTGATGTCTACAATCTAATATCTACAGTCTATCACCCTCTACAAATCCCTTCACACCCTGGCACCTCCCTACCTTACTGGCCTACTTTCCCCCATGCCACCACCCATTGCCTCCGCTCGGCTGACTCTGGCCTGCTGCTTGACCCTTGTCCCCTCTGCTCTACTATCGGCGGCCACACTTTCAGCCACTATGCTCTGAAGCTTTGGAACTCTCTCCCCCAATCCCTCCGCTTGACCCCTGCTTTCCCTCTTTTAGATCACGAGTGAAGACCTTCCCTCTATGACTGTGCTTACAGTCACCTCCTGCCTCCCCCCGTTCAGCATCAGTTTTCAGCACCGTTAAGTGTTCCAAGACACTGCCACATGTGAAGGGCGCTGTAAATGTAAGTTGTTGTTAATGATGAGATATACTCCCAAAGTGGAAGATGCTTTGAGACATCTTCCCGGAGTGGAAGATGCTATACCAAATGTAAGCAGAGGGTTATTATCCTCTCTGTCTAATGGATCACACAGCAATGAAACATACCTCAATGTTTAAAGCTAAAACCCAAAGGCAGAATAACTTTATTTAAATATTTTATTGTTTTTTGTCTGTGTTTACTGTTATGTTTTGGGGGTTGTTTTCTATTACATTTCTTGTCACTTTTATTTTCTTCAGTCAGGCACTGACAGCATCACCATCCATGGTTGCACACTCCACCTCACTGAGCCAGTCTGGAAACTTGGGGTCTCGTTTGATCCTCAACTATCCTTTCTACTCCACATCTGCGCCATGACCCGCTCTGCCTTCCCCCACCTCCGCAACGTCACTCGGCTCCACCACTGTCTCACTCCGCAGGACACCAAAACCCTCATACACGTCTTCATTACATCGAGGATTGATATGCAAACTCTCTGCTTGTCGGCCTCCCCAACTCCTCCCTCCACAGGCTGCAGATCATCCAGAACTCTGAGTCCTCTCCAGCACTAGGCTCCGCGACCCTATCACCCGCATCCTTGTCCAACTCTACTGGCTTCCCATCACACAGAGGATACAGTTCAAGATCCTGCTCCTCATCTTCAAAACCCTCCACGGTCTTGCTCCCCCTACCTCTCCGACCTCCTAACTCCCTACCATGTCGCTTGCTTCCTCCGCTCGGCGGGCTCCAGCCTGCTTCACGTCCCCGCCTCGCCCGGCCCACTATTGGCGGGTGGGCCTTCCGCTACTCTGCCCCCACCCTCTGGAACTCCATCCCGCAGTCCCTCCACCTCACCCCCTCCCTTACCAACTTCAAGACCCATCTCAACACCCTCCTCTTCGACCATGTTTTCGATCTCCCTGCTTCCCCCCTGCCCTCCACCCTCCCCGACCCCCAGCTCGGGTCTGTAACTCTGTCTGTCCAGCGCCTTGCGACGTCCTCCCGACGTGAAAGGCTCTATACAAATGTAATTTTGTTGTTGCTGTTGTTGTTTATTTGACCATTTATCAATAATGTAAACACAGCAATTCTTTCCTTATAACAAGGCTGGTATAATAAGTTTCAAAGGCAATTCAAACAAAAGAAACTTCTATTCATGAGCAACTCACCACTAAAACAAGTTTTAAATTTTTTTCCCAAACACACACATGAGTGTGATTTCCCTACCAACTAAAATAACTACAGTGTAAGATGAAAATCAAACCATAAATGCTAAAAATATATTAACAGTAGGAGAGCTCTGCATTCAAAATCATGACATAAGTGATTTATTAACTGCTCCTCAACTTTTAATTTAAAAGATTATTGGTTTGAGCAAAAGAAATGGCCACCTCCTGTAAAATAATAATAATCTTTACATTTGGTGTAGCGCCTTATCATGTTGTTGAGACGTCTCAAAGCACTTCACAGAATATATCATAAAGTGAATTATATATTGAATAGTATATTTTTGTTTTGTTAATGTTATTTTTGGCGGATTGCTTTTCTGGGGGTAATAAACCCTTCCAAAAATAATAATAATAATTTAGTCACTCAACCCATTACTGTTTGTGGGACGCTGCTGTGTGCAATTGGCTGCTGCGTTTTGCCCACAAAATATACAGTCAATTCACTTTACAGTATATTCTGTGAAGCGCTTTGAGATGTCTCGGAGACATAAGGCATTATATCAAATACCAGGATTATTAATACTGTATCTCGCCCACAAAACACACAGTCAATTTACTTTACTGTAAATTTACTTACTATGTGAAGCACTTTGAGATGTCTCAAAGACGGGACAAGACACTGTAACAAATGCAAGGATTATTATTATCATGATTGCGCCTCGCCCCCAAAATGCACAGTCAATTAATTCACTTCACGGTATATTCCGTGAAGCGCTCTGCGATGTCTCGGAGATGGGATAAGGCGCGGTATCAAACTCAAGGATTATTATTATCATGTTTTGAGTGTCAAGATGTGGGATGGCTTCTGTGTTTCCGTTAAGGAGAAAGGGAAACAGTGTACCTCCCCGAGAGCAGCAGTGACAGGCGGTCGATGGCGGTCTTGCCCTCCACCGCATAGTCCTGCTCCTGGTCCAGGCTGACCACGGCGCGGTCGCAGCACTTCACCACCTCTTGTAGACGACGAGGGGCACCTCCAAAGGCAGGAACATGGACTTGTACAGAGAGGAGAAGTCTTCGTCGAAGCGGACTTTCCTGAGGCGGTAGCAGACGTGCGCCAGCTGCGCCAGGCACAGGGACACCAGGAGCCAGCACCAGACGAAGACATCCAGCCCGCAGGCGTCGAACCAGCCCCAGAGCGCCTCGATCACAAACCCGGCGCCCAACAGACTGAAGATGTACACCAGACCGAAGTAGCCGCTGCCACCCATGTAGCCCAGAGTGAAGACCACATTGCCCAAGTGGTAGATGGCCCCCTGGCTCTGGTTACTCCAGGTCTGGCACTCGTTTGGTCCGTGGACGATAGTTTCCAAGAGAGTCGAGTTTTCTGGCAGCATTTTTTTTTTCTTCTCTTCCTCCTCTCCTCCTCCTCCTTCCTCCTCCTCCTCCTTCCTCCTCCTCCTTCTCTTCCTCCTCCGAAAAGGGCAAACTTGGCAAGACTCAGGGGCTCAAATTTGATCCACAGAGTAGTTTTACGCACCGCACAAGAGGAGGGGAAGGGAGGGCTGTACTGTACTGTACTGTGTGTGTATATATGTGCGTCTGTGAGTGTCACACACACACACACACACACACACAGAGAGAGGAATGTGTCCCTCTTGGCAGCAGAGCGAAGTTACAGAGAAAAGGATACCATGTTTGGACTTGAAATCCAAGGAGGTCTGAGAGGGAGCGAGAGAGAGAGAGAGAGAGAGAGAGAACAGATGACACTTAACATAACTGGCACAGGCGATAAGAGGTTCCCATACCCCCTCCTCCCGAAATAATACGCACTTGAATGTATTCAACCACACACACACACACATACACCACACACACACACACACACCTCCACACACACATACCCACACACACACACACCTCCACACACACACACACCCCACACACACATACCCACACACACACACCCACACACACCCCCACACACACACACCTCCACACACACACCCCCCCCCTACACACACACACACACCCCCACACACACACACACCTATACCCACACACACACATACCCACACACACCCACCCCCCCCACACACACACCCACACACACACCCCCCACACACACACACACCCCACACACACACACCTCCACACACACACACACCACACACACACACACCCCACACACACACACCTCCACACACACACACACACACACACACACCTCACACACACACACCTACACACACACCCACACACACCCCCCCCCCCACACACACACACCCCCCCCCACACACACACACCCCACACACACACACCCCACACACACATACCCACACACACACCCACACACACACATACCCACACACACACCTCACACACACATACCCACACACACACCCCCACACACACCCCCACACACACACACCTCCACACACACACCACACACCACACACACACCCCACACACACACACCTCCACACACACACACACACACCCCACACACACACACCTCACACACACACACCCACACACACACCCACACACACCCCCCCCCACACACACACACACCCCCCACACACACACACACACCCCACACACACACACACAAGCCCCACACACACACCCGCACTTCCTCGCTTCCCGTTGCTTCGTGTCAAATACCAAAATGCTGGATGTGACTGAGTCGGGAAATCCTGTATTCTCTCCAGTTTTCAGTGTGATAAATGGTGGCGGCGCTGGAAGGCTCCACAGCGCGTAATCCACGAGTTTCGCTGAGATTTTTGAACTGGTAGAAGGCGCTCTTGGGCACGGGGTGACCTGTAGGTCCTGATGGGTGTATAGGATTTTCGAGAGTCAGGTTTCACAGCTGCCCAGGGAGAGTGAAGTCTTTGCATTCCAATTGTTATCCATCATATGCACAGCTAAACCTTTAGGATCCAGCTCTGCGCAGTATTACAGTATTAATAATAATAATCCTTGCATTTGATATAGCGCTTTTCACGTCGGGAGGACGTCCCAAAGCGCTTCACAGAACACACTGTAAAGTGAATTGACTGTATATTTGTGGGCGAACGCGGCAGCCAATTGCGCACAGCAATGTCCCACAAACAGTCGTAGATTGAAAATGACCAATTTTATTATTGTTTTTGGTTTTGGAGGGATTATTATTAGGCTCTGTGTGGAGTAAGGAAACTTGCCCAAGGTTTCACCCTCTGCCTGGAATTGAACTCAGGTCTCTCGCTTGCAAAGCGAGTGCTCTAACCACTGAGCTACAGGATTCCTTCCACTGAGCTACAGGACTCCTATTACAGCTGCATCTGGAATACTTACTCCCCAGGCATATTGATCTGGAGGAGCAAATGCTTATCAGTACAATTCATTTCACGAGAACAAGACTCATGCAAATGTGATGTGCAAAGGATGAGTGCGGGTCTACTTGACTCAATGTCGCTTCCTCTGAAGCATCTTGAAATGTTGTACTGTGTACCCATTTGTACCACCTCCCGGCTCAACGGTACATAGACGTGTAACCACCGGTTCATTCATACCTATTAATTGCAAGGTTCAATGTGTTCCTTTCAATCCAGGGTGTTTCCAGCAGCAACAGCTTGCAGCGCGAGTTAATCGAATCATACAGTGGGAAACCAATGTAATGACTTTCACACTGTCTTACTGGACTATTTATTGACACAATTTGCTTGGTTGTCATCCAGAAAACCATTGAGCCAGGTTTATTATTCATTCTTTTAATTGCTCAAATTCAAATACAGTGCCAAACTCAGCCCATATTCGCTCTCATGTTACTGTACATGTCTGTGTATAGGAGAACTGGAAGCAGCAGCCTTTAGCAATACTCCACTTGTATACCAATTGGCTAAATTTATATGTAACATGCTAGTTTACACTCAGAGACTTATTTCTCTAGTAAGGTATTTCTGGAACTTATTTCTAATAGAAAAAAATAGAAAAAAATCATAACACAGTTTCATTTTTTTCAAGGATGGGGACGGGGCTGGAGAAGGGAGAAATATAAGTGGGATCTCCACAGGACTGAGTTGGCTCCAATCTGATGTGCCTGGAAATGAATAACCGAGATCCGTTCCGAGATCGAATATGGCCACTCAAACTGGATGGTGAGAGGTCGTTACAAATAATACTGCACAGGCTGCAATAGTGTTAAATAAGTTGTTTATTTCAGTTTTTACTGAGCAGATAGGTAACCCATCTGATCTGGAAAGAGAACTCAAGGATGGCACGGAGGAAAGTTACAATGCCATTCAGATCACTACCAGCACGGTTGCCAAACAGCTATACAACTTTAGTTTTTAAACCTCAGGGGGCAGATAAATTGCATCCAAGGATCCTTAAGGGTCTAAGGGATCAAGTTGCTGAAATGCTGGTACAAATCACTGAACACTGGAGGATGTCAGGGAACTGGAGAATGGCAGATGTTACTCCTATTTTTAAGTAAGGCAATAAAAGTGACCCAGAAAAGAAGACCACAAACTTTGACATCCATTGTGGGTATAATTATGGAGAATCTTATTAAGGATAAAATCAAAGAGCAGTTTAACATCTCATACAAAGGACGACACATGCAGCACTACACTAAATATCAGACTCCATAACGTCCACCACCCAACGTGGGGATTCAACTCTCATCTTTAAGACCCAGAGGTGCAAGTGGTACCAACTGAGCCAATCTGACACACAATGTCAATTTAAGACATCCACTGTATTATCCGATTTCAGTGACAATTTATAACACATTTAAGAATCAGCAATATCATTCATGAATATAATCCAGGATCTCAAATCATTCTTACTTCTTGTTCCATATGGTGCTGCACAAATGCTGTATACGAGTCACATCTGTACCATGATCCATACCCACTTTCTATAAAGAGACACATTTCAAAAAAAGTTCCAACTCTCTCACATCATAGGCCTAGCCAAAGATCCATTTAAGATTATAATGGTACAAATTCATTCACAGTCACTTCCCATCTTGAAATCGTTCCTCTGGGGGATGGGGAGCCAGTGGAGGCGAGCGAGGGTGGGAGTGATGTGGTCGTGAAGCCTGGTGCGGGACAGTACACGAGCTGCAGAGTTCTGAATGACCTGCAGCTTGTGGAGGGAGGTGCCGGGAAGGCCGGCGAGGAGAGAGTTCCCATAGTCCAGCCTTGAGGTGATAAAGGAGTGGAACAGAGTTTCAGCAGCATGAGGTAGTGACGTAGTCTGGCGATGTTTCGGAGGTGATGGAAGGCGGTGCCATTGTGGCGCGGATATGAGGAAGAAAGGACATCTCAGGGTCGAACAGAACACCAAGGTTCCCGACTGGCTTTGAGAGGTGGAGAGTGCAGCCTTGGATGCTGATGCTGTCAGCACCTGAGGTGCAGAGGCGCTGACGTGAGCCAATCAGGAGGGCCTCAGTTTTGCGCACGTTGAGCTGAAGAAAGTTGTCTCTCGACCAGGACTCGATGTCGGACAGGCAGGTTGTCAGGACATCGGTGGTCGTGGAGTTGAGGGTAGAGGAGGACAGGTAGAGTTGGGTGTCATCCGCATACATGTGGAAGTTAACCCCATGTCTGCGGCTGATGTCACCAAGGGGGAGCATATAGAGGGTGAAGAGGAGGGGACCGAGGACAGAGCCCTGAGGGACACCACACAAGACAGTGCGGGCGTTGGAGGAAAAGCCGTTTGTGGAAACAAAATGAAGACGGTGGGAAAGGTACGGCCTAAACCACTCAAGGACAGGGCCTTGAAGGTTGAGGTGGGAGGACAAGCGGTGGAGGAGGATAGCGTGGTCGACCGTATCGAATGCTGTCGATAGGTCGAGGAGGACGAAGAGGCAGAGGGAGCCCTGGTCGCAGATGGTCAAGATGTCATTGGTGTCCTTGACCAGGGTGGTTTCTGTGCTATGGGCAGCACGGAAACCCGACTGAAGGGGATCGAATAATGCATGGGTGGAGAGAAAAGAGCGCAGCTGGAAGGCGACAACTCTTTCAAGGACCTTGGACAGAAAGGGGAGGTTGGAGATGGGCCGGTAGCTTGATAACTGCGACGCATCAAGGGAGGGTTTTTTCAAAGTGGGAGTGATGATGGCAGTTTTTAGGGGAATGGGAACAGAGCCAGAGGAGATGAACAGGTTGATGATGTTGATGACAAAGGAACTTGATAAGGCTGTGGATGTTGGATATTTGGATTTCAGTATGCCCTTTGATACAGTTCCTCTTGAGAGGATGCTACTGAAAGTAAAGAAAGCAGGAATCAGTGGAAAAGTGTTACAATGTATATGCAACTGATTGACCAGAAGAACCCAGAGAGTGGTAGTATAAGGAGTGTCATTAGACAACGTGAAAAAATGTAAGCTACTTCACATAGGCACAAAACAATCCAGGAAGGGACTATTATTTGAATGGAAGGAAATAATATGTTTGTTTACTTATCAACATAACAATCCTTTTGTCTTCCAAACCCAATATCAAGAGGTTTGCTAAAGAACAGAAGTAATCCAGTCATCTGGACTCCAAGCTCTCATGGCTATCTGTAGGAGAGTGTGGGTCACACCCCCAAACAAAAGG